AAACACATTCAGTACATGCAATACTGCAATGCGTTAGTTCCCCCAACACTGCTGATCTACATCTTGAATGCAGTGTAAGTTCTTTGGGATAAAGGCATCTGCTAAATGCATAAATGTAACGAATTGTTCACAATAACACAAATAACATCCTGCAGACTTTAAAATCACAAGACTAAACGAGTGCAGAGAGAGTGGAAACAACACACTACAGGACCGTTGCAGTAATGAAGTGTGTGAAGACGCATCGCTTATTGATGAACCGTGACCTCACGCAACTGAAAAATAACCAGAAAAGTTTGTTAATATTGTATAATCTGTATGTCATTTTTACTTTTAAGACTTGCAACAGTGTACAAGTGCACGTTCAGTACAATATTAAAAATATACTTATATATATGAGGACTGCAGCACAGGAAGGAAAATTAAGTTCACTTCTTTTCAACGAGGGTGTATAGAGTATAGCAAAGGCCATCTCTTCTCTTTATCTCTAAAGTCGTGTAATTGGACACTGACTGACCACATTAAACAGGTATGGATTCATAATTACCCAGCAGCCCCTGCAAGTTATGCTAATGAGCGGCCGGCGCTCTCATAATCAGGCTATCTATATGCAGAGTCTCCTGTAATGGATTTGCTCATTTATTACTGTTAATGTGTTAATGTTCACTGATGAGGAGGGGAAGAGATGATGATGACGATGACATCACGTATAAGAACTGGAAGGTGTTCACATTACCAGCTTTCAGACTCACTTCAGGTTTATGACGGATTGTTGTCATTCTCGTTCAATATCTGCGGTCGGCAACGTCTCATTCTTCATCCACACACACACACACACACGTTTGAGCACTTAGCGGTGTTCCTGTGGTGCATCTGTGGTTCTTCAACTCACCGTTGGCACCGGATACACCGGCCCATTTCCCCTGAAACCTGAGATGCATTGTGGGTAATAAAGGGCCATAAAGTGCATAAAGGAGAACCTGATCCACCGACTCCGTCAGATGATGACATCGCGCAAGATGGATGGATCGAGGGACATTAACACAGTCCAGCCACAGAAGCACTCCGACAGGGGAATCGTGTGTGTAAGTCTGTCGGGAAATAAGAAGAGTGTGTTGATATCAAAAGCTGTGTTTGTCTGTCACACACACACCCGACATTCAACGCTTTATGATCTATATATTCAATAAACAAGACGTTAACACTGAATTACATGCATCGCTTTTAAAGATTATTTCATGACCATTTTTAAAAGTTCATTTTAAATGACGTTGATCTTTGTGTCAATTTTAACTCGCTTGTGTTATTTGTTATTACATGTCGAGTTAATATAGGCTATTTTAAAGCACTAAACTGCAACGCAATCATTCAAACGTGCACTTATAAATCTATTTAAATATGGCATGCACGTTTCAATAGAAACCACAATAAAGCATAATTTAGTTTAAATGCTTGTCAGGACACTTAAACACCATATTTCAGAGACAATAGAATTATCAAAAAGCACATCCAAGTTCAGCTAATTGCATTTAATATACATTTACTACATTTTCATTTAATTGTAAATAACATGTTCAAAATTTTTAAAGTGAATTATTTATGTGATAAATAGTCTTTTTGGTTCCATTTTGTTTTAAGGTGTCATTGTCACAGTGTAAGTACAGAGTCATAACTACATATAGTGTTAGGGTTAAATTAAGGGTTGCATGTAATTAGCCTATGCATAACTGTTAGCAACTACATGTAACGTGTAACAAGGACACATCTTTTTTCAAGCATGTAAAAGTATACTTCTTTTACTGGTAATCCCTCTCGTTTCTTAGTAATTCATTTCCAGCATACCTGCATTCATAACCTTTATAGACATTTATCCACTAACCCATTTATAACGGTAATAAAAAGCTTTTTAATCCCATTGAAATGATCTGAACAGCATCAGACTCTTTAACTCGAGGGATCTCTGGAAAAACTCTCCAAACGCAAACAGAATTACAGATGAATGGGCCATTTATATCGACACGACTGCAGCCGCCGGGATTGAATCGCGGGGTGTTTTACAGTAATATATGCGCTCTGTCAGCGGCACGAACACACTCCAGGCACATTTATGAAAAGCAACAAGCCGAAATGCCCGAGAAGGTCATTCCCTGGATGCTGATGCGCTAATTGTAGTGAAATGAGATTCATTCCTCGAGGGGGAAATGTCAGTAGAGTTAAAGAGCGGGAATATGGAGCCGTCGACGTCTGAACGCGGCAATCTGAGGCAAACACACACACACTCTTCTCACGCGTGGGATTCAACACACTAGATGAGGTACACATGTTCTGCCATCTCACTATTGATCCTGTAGCCTCGAATATACATAATCAAACTGTATTATATACGAAATAACTAAATACCACAAGTGTTTTTGATGACCTCATCGGTGGACGAGCAGTTCTCTCCGCGGCCACCGGAGGCGCTAATCACAAGGGTTCCTCAATTATGCATACACGACCCTTGTAACAACACATTGTATGGGTCAAAATGATCAAAAAATCATAAAGATCATGGTCCAGGGTCTCATATAGCCCATATTTCAGTATCAGTGTCATGTGACTTTAGTCGCACGTGTAGGGTCAGATGATCCCGTGCGCTCGGCCTTTAGTGGGAATGGCAATGCAGTCGACGGCACAGGCTTTAATGAATTCATTTTGATATTCGCCTTGTCTTTTTTCTATCAGTCCAGAAACACTAAAGCAATTTTGACTGAAATAACATGTAATTGCAACCATCCTCAGTGGAAAATGAAATATTGACAACGGTAAACATCAGAATAATAGCCATGTTTTGGAAACAGATAGGGCCTATTCCTGAGAGAGATTCGGCTCCGAACACGAACACAAAATGTTAAATTAATATTCCTGAAAAGTTGGACATGTTGTCAAAGTTTTACTTCAGGGAATCATTTAGCCTCTATGTATATCTCACCGACAAATAACAACTAGTTTTACTGATTTATAAGAAAATGTGTAAGACTGAAGAGTAATGATGCTGAAAATACAGAGGATTAAATTACACTTTACATGTATATTCACAGAGAGAACAGATGATTTACACTGGAATAATGTTTTACTGTGTTTTTGATCAAATAAATGCAGGGTTGCTGAGCAGAAGAGACTGTCTGAGAGTGTGTATATGTGTGTGTGTCCCTTATCTCCTGCCAGACAGTGTTAGTCTGTGATAACGGCCTGTCCAGAGATGACGACCAGTTGCTCTCATCTTTAGTTCATATCATACATAGAAATTCAATTTGCCAATATAAATGGAACAGGGCTGGAATCAGCGCCGTCTGATCTGCTCTACAGCTCCTGCTATCACACACACACACACACACACACACACACCTGATATCTCTGTCGTTCAGAGGATGTGTTTCTGACAGATTGAGACAGATCCTCACTCAGTGTCCGAGCTCAAGGTCGAGATGATGTCGAACTGACCCCGGGGTCGCCGGACAGGAGAACGCATCGCTTACACTGTAACAAAACCCTCATTATTAAACAGTCATGCAACATTTATTAATTGTGAAACTTTTCATCACTCTCACTCAGCGATGGACACACACACACACACACACACACACACACACACACACATGTCTAACGTTTTTAATGTTTTTAAAACAAGTCTCTTCTGCTCAGCAAGGCTGCATTTATTTTGATTTAAAAAAATAGAAAACAGTAATATTGTCAATATATAGCCTAGTAAAGTGTAATTTAATCCTCTGTATCCTCATCATCATTACTTCAGAAATCACTCTAATATGAGGATCAAGAAACATTTATGATTATTATCAGTGTCGAAAACAGTTGTGTAGTTTTTTTTTCCTTCAGGATTTTTTTTGATGAATAGAAAGCATTTATTTGAAAGAGAATATTTTGTAACATTATGAATGTCTACTGCCACTTTTGATTAATAAAAGAGTAATTTGTGAAGGATCATGTGACACTGAAGACTGGAGTAATGATATATTCACAGATGAGCTACCAACAATGGAAAGATATATCCACAATATTACTGTTTTTATTTTTTATCAAATAAATGCAGCCTTGCTGAGCAGAAGAGACATTAAAAACATTTAAATCTAAAACTTTTGACTGGTGTATATTTGAACAATCGCTTATTAACCTCGTGGAGAGATTCAGAAACACGGTTTATAATCCAGACGATACCTCATCATCATATCTTTAATTTCCGTTGTGCATTTGTTCGAGAGCTCGAGTGATTTCCAGAAGAAAGTGTGGATCCGCCTGGAGAACTGTCGATGAAAGACTCTGAGATTGATTAGTCTTTCTCAGAAGGACTCTTAAAAGCATCGTATTGAACGCACAGGGACATCAATGCATCTCAATGCGGGCTGCACCGGTTACTACACACACACACACTCGACTATGGAGGAATGAGGGGACATAAGACAGAAAGTGCAAGTCCTGTGGTTCACTGGGCTGATGCTGCCCCCTGGTGGACACACACACACACACACACACACCACATCGATCTTCATCCCAGCAGTCGTTCGAGATAAAAGCACATATTGCATTGCTAATAATAATTGTATCCCTTAAAACCCATCTTTGATCACCAAATGTCATATTTAAATGTCTTCTTGCCTATCTTGAATGTAACTCGACACCCTTGCCTCATTTAGTATGCGTGGTGCTATGAATATGCAAATGAGCCCCGCCTCCACTTACTCACTCAGAGATCCACTGGTTGTCGATCACACGTTGATCTGATTGGTTACAAGGTCGTTTGTGACGCGGTTATCTGCACTTTTGGCCGATAAAAACAGCCAATAATCAGAGCCCATAATATCCTGTCAATCAAAAGAGGGCAGAAAATATGATGTCATCGGTGTTTGAATCAAAATATTTTTTTTGTTGTTTTTTTTTGGAAAAGCAATGATTGATTGAGTTCAGCGTGTAAACACCGCAAACAACACAACAGATTACACTGATGTATTTCTTAAAATTCTTTATTCATAAACTTGATGCAAGTTTACAAATTGTACTGTACATGGTCAAAATTACACTTACAATGAAAGAAAAAACGTAAAATAAAAAGCATTATAACCAAAGCATGCTAACAGTGCAGAACTGTCCGACCGCTCTCCGGCCTTGGGAGTGATCTGATCTGGAGTCAGCTGTGAACACACTCCTCTATCAAACGCTCTACGGTGGAGCTGATCCTGGAGGACGAGAGCCGGGATTAAACCTACGGGTCCCATCTATGGCTTGATGTCAGAGTGGCATTATTCATTTATTTTTAATTTACCTAAACAAACCAAAAGGTGAAGCGGACACTGTCCCACACGGGACCGAACACTTCCCGGTGCGTTCAACGGCTCGGGAAAGCAGGAATTATAATCTAAACCCCGTCCACGGCGTCCGGGACCGAGAGCGCTGACAGGAACACAGGAGGAACAGCAGGACGAGACCCACACACACACACACACACTCGCTGCTGCGTTCTCCTCCTTTAAGGCATCATTGGTCAGCGCCCAGCGTTCCCTAACACACAGCAGTGTCCGTCCGCTCGCGGCTCCTCCGGCAGAACCCGCGCCGCTCCGAGGACGACGGGAGAGGAGATGTCGGGACCGCAGGAATAATGGCATTATCTGAGATGATAAAGCAACAAACAAAACGAAAAGAAAGAGCTTTCCCCGTGGATGGGACTCGGAGACGGGACACACGGGCAGAGACTGAACAGAGGGATGATGGGAGGAACGGGAACAAAGAGACGTCCACCGCAGGATACACGCTCATGTGCGATCTCTCGCTCTAGCCGTCCTCTTTCGGGGGTGTGTACCAGCCTGGGGGAGACACACACACACACACACACACACACACGTCTAAACCTTGTCCTTAGCTATGGACAAAATAGGAAATTGGCTAAACTCCTCTTGCTTGACACTAAATACTAAAAAAAACTGTTGGAATGTATTTTGCGAAGTCAAACTAAATTAAATATGTGCCTAACATCTATTTTAATGGGCAAAAAATTACTATTGTGACAGAGGTTAAATATTTAGGTGTCCATCATATAATATTTCTATTTTTAAACACATTAGGAATCGTTTGACAATTGAGGCAGCTTTCATATATTTTAATGCTATGATTTCCTCACACATCACATATTGTTTGTCCTGTTGGTCTCAGGCCAACGAAACCACAATTAAACCACTTAGATCAGTCTATAATCAGGCATTAAAGGTGCTTGACAGAAAAACCCAGCGCTATCATCATTGCAACATTTTACGTAAATATAAAGTATTACGTTTTGACTCCCTAATTTTATTTACAAATTTAAGAACTGTTTTTAAAATTGTTAATAACCTCGCTCCACCCTTAATGAAAAATCACAGAAAATTTTATTCGGAACTAACAAATCGAACTTCTCGATCAACGGTTCATAAAAATTTGGCTATCCCGAAAAGATCATCCGCCTTTGCACAGACGGCTTATTCATTTAAAACTATAAAACAATGGAATCAACTCCCCAATCGTTTAAAGCTGTCTGCAGATGTGAACCATTTCTCTAAAAACTTAAAGAAATACATACTTGAGAACCAGCTGTGTCAGCATCAGTGCGTTTAATGTATACATTGTGAGTAGAGATGGTCCTTTGAATATGTTCTCTCATTTTGTATCTGATTGTTTTTATATGATTGTCAGACTAATATGTGTAGCTATATTACTATTGATAGTTGTTTTGCAATGTTCTAATGTCTTAAATTGTGTGCACCTGCCCGGGGACTGCGGATGAAAACTAGCTTAGGCTAACTCTGGCACAAAGCATCTCTTCGCAAGACTAATGTATCTTGTGCATTGTCCCTGATAAATAAAAAAAAATAAAAAATAAATAAAAAAAACGTGAGTGTGTAAGGTTGTGCTTCTCACCGTTCTTCTCGTGGATCTGCACCAGGGATTTATACGACTGCTGCGCTCTGGCGAGATTGTACTGGTTCTGAAACACACAGCAGATCTTCATTCTAGTCTCTATATTTTAATATAGACAGAGTATCTGCACATTTTTTAACAGCAAATTCAATGACTTTTAAGACCTTTTAAATTCTCTAAAAGGCAAATTTAAGACTTTACCACAACAAAAAACATAAATGTTCAGCACGACACGACAGTGTTAATATTTGGCAGCCATTTTTGTTTTAGTCTTAGTCTTCAGATGAAAGGGCTTATTGGTCTTAGTCACATTTTTAGTAATGTTGTCTTTCATAGTTTTAGTTGACATTTTTTTTGTCAACTTTTAGTCAAACTTCAGTTACCGACATTAATTTTGGTAGCTATTTTGCATGTAGTCAAAAATATGACATTATAATGATTCGCTTTAGGCCAATTCAATGCAGCTCATGGAGACATTTGGATCAAGGTAACAGGCTGTATTGAGAATGCACTCTTTAGCAGCAGCACTTGTGCAATTCTACATATCCCTGTTCCTCAGTTCAGTGGTTCTCCAATTTTTTAGAAGACCGTACCCCCTCTCGCACTCAGACTGCAGGCACACCTTTTCCATTTAGGACAATATCTGCCCCTCCATATTTTCCAGTTCATTTTTTTTACCATTATAAATACTTTAATAATATAAATAATGTTTTAAATTAAACAATGTTCAATAAATATCCAATGATGGTAAAAATGAGGTGATACTTTTAAATATTAAATTAAAAATTGCCAGTAGGTGACCGTAAGTCACTGTTTTTATAGGTCATCCGTCATCCATCATCCGGTCATTAAAGGAGTAGTTCACTTTTGAAAAAACTTTTGCTGATAATTTACTCGCCCCCGTGTCATCCAAGATGTCCATGTCTTTCTTTCCTCAGTCGAAAAGAAATTTAGGTTTTTGATGAAAACATTCCAGGATTTTTCTCCATATAATGGACTTCAATGGGGACCAAACGGTTCAAGGTCCAAAAGACAGTTAATAACAGTTTCAGATGCAGCTATAAATGTCTTTAAACGACACCAGACGATGAATAAGGGTCTTATCATGCGGAACGATCGGTTATTTCAAAACTTATTCCAAAAATGTAACTTTTCTAAGGACAAATGCTAGCCTTGCTCTATTCTGTGAGGCGTGTTTGTAACGTCACGTAATACGTAATTACGTTCAAAAGGTCACGGGCGACGTAGCCGAAAGTACAGAGTCAGTGTTTACAAGTTGAACGCATAGGTTGAACGTGCAAACTAACTCAAACGCCGTTTACAAAAAAGGAATTAAAAGGTAAAACAATGATGTCGGACGATTTTGATTCTGTACTTCCGGCTACGTCGCCCGTGACCTTTTGAACGTAATTACGTATTACGTGACGTTACAAACGCGCCTCACAGAATAGAGCAAGGCTAGCATTTGTCCTTAGAAAAGTTACATTTTTGGAATAAGTTTTGAAATGAGCGATTGTTTCGCATGATAAGACCCTTATTCATCGTCTGGAGTCGTTTAAAGACATTTGAACAAGTTTGCAGTTTGTACTGAAACTGTCTTTTGGACCTTGAACCGTTTGGACCCCATTGAAGTCCATTATATGGAGAAAAATCCTGGAATGTTTTCATCAAAAACCTTCATTTCTTTTCGACTGAGGAAAGAAAGACATGGACATCTTGGATGACACGGGGGCGAGTAAATTATCAGCAAAAGTTTTTTCAAAAGTGAACTAATCCTTTAATTCATTAGTACAAACACAGTAGCTAAGCAAGTGGCTGTATTTATGAACGGGTCATTGAATGTCACGAATTCGAATCACCGCTGTGTGCTGCAGTTCTGCAGTGGCTTTCCTTGCAAAACAGCAATAATATGATCAACATTAAAAACACTGCTGGATTTCAACCTGTATTGATCTCAGATTTAGTCACACCAAAACAGCTCGTGACAGAATAAAGACCAAATGAATGACACTTTAATTAATTTAGGTAGATAATCTCAAATGAAGATCACTGACTGAACTCCAGGTACTCAGATCATCCGCGCTTCTTCAGCAGTGTAGAGCATGGTTGCCAGATACTACTGACAAGAGCGGGTAAACAACGTGTTCTTTTAACAGAAAAGCTCCGACTGCGGATTTAATTATTTAAATCTGGCAACCAAGCATGAACGCTCGTAAACAAAAGATAAGCAAACTAAAAAAACGGATGTCGAGTCGGACAGTAAATTTAAGGTCTGTCCGTGAAATTTAAGACCTCCTTATCGGAAATTTCAGATTTTAAGACATTTTCAGGCCTTAAAAAGCGAAAATTTTATTTAAGACTTTTTAAGGACCCGCGGGGACCCTGTATATAACCTTAGATCCGAGAAACGAGTGCAGGACTTCCTGTTGCCCTCAACCTTGAGTTTATCCAGCGTCGAGAATACTTCCTGTGTGCCAAAAACTACACAAATAATGACTTTATTCAACTCTTCATGTTCTTCTGTGTGGGCCTCGAGTGTGTTCATGTGTGTAACAGCGGTCATGGTCATGTGTGTGATGTCCGCTGGTCATGTGATGCATCTGACGTACGCTGGTCATGTGATACGTGAAGCGCTGCACTGTTACACACGTAAACACACTCGAGGTCCACATAGAAGAACATGGAGAGTCGAATAAAGTCGTTATTATTGTTGTTTTGCGCACTGAAAGTATTCTCATCACCTGATAATCTTAAGGTTGAGCCGCTGTCGTCACTCAGACTATTTTAACGATGTCTTTAATAACTTTCCGGGCCGGCCAGTTTCGATGGAGGAGTGATCCAGCTCTCAGATTTAATCACGAATATCTTCATTTGCGTCCCGAAGACGAAGGACAGTCTTACAGAGAGTCGTCACTGACAGGGTTTGGGTGTAAGTGAGATTACCTTATTGGCTCCAAACTGCACTCTCGCTTTCCCCTTGACTAGCGTGGCGTTGATCTGCATGATGACAGACTCTATGGAATAGGCACTGCTCCAGCCCTGCGGAAACAGATCACATGACCATCACACACACATCACATGCATGTCATATTACAGAGCCGCATCTGTCCATCAGGATCTCAGATCAGCCCTTTCACATTCAAGAGTTTAAAACAGTTTAAAACAACTGGACATCAGGAAGAAATAAATATACAGTCAAACCACAGTGTGTTCAACATCATCATCAGTTTATCGGCTCTAGTGTATAAATATGACCGAACTCAGGTCTCAGATCAGTGTTTGATATTTGACTGGTTTAGTCCGTCCTTCTGTTGGACTCTCACACATGAATTATGTTGAATATCTGTTCAATTGAACTCCACAATTAGATAATACCAGTTTAGCTCAACCAGTGACCAAGCAATGCTTCATGTTGTTCAGTGTGTGTGTAAAAAGAGCAAAACATCATCAGCTCAAAGTGTGTGAGTAATCTTTGGCCCCAAATGTGTGTGTGATGAGTTATTGGGTGTAATATGTCCGTTGGCTTTATTTAACTGTAGTGTCCTGATCACATTATTCTGATATCTGGTGTCTGAGTAACGTTTGGTTTGACTGTATATTAAATAAATGCGTGATATGACCCTTAGTTGAGGACTGTAGTGTCCTGAGAGCAGAAGCGGTCTGAGAACTGAGAGGAAGTATAATGAATGTGTCTGAATCTGGAGTAGAGAACAGAAACACACACACCTGTTTAGTGAGTAGTTCCATACACAGAGCTCCTCCACCCAGAACATACCTGAACACACACACTTCAGTTAGCCTGGCCTTTATACACACACACACACACTACAGATAGCCTGAAACTTTATATACAACTGAATAAATAAATTATGAAGATATAATAAACAAAATGCATCACAATGACACAAATAGGATGAATAACGCAAAAACGAAAGGCTGATGAGTCTCACCCTCCAGAAAGCACAGGAGAAACCACTCGTACAAACGGGGGATCGAACGGGAAGTTATCCTGAAGACACATAAATTGTGCATACAAGCATTTGTACATTTAATAAATAAGCTGAACAATTATAAAAGGTAAATTGTCACCTTATTCACAATGTATTATGAACTAAAGGCTAAACTCTCTCTCTCTCACACACACACACACACACACACGTTCACTATCTTTGTGCCACTTCACTATCTATAGACATAATGGTGTTTATACTGTCCTCTCTTACACTAACCCGACCACTAAACCAACCCATCACACACACACACAGGGAACTCACTTTGTAAGAGAAGTTGAGGAGTATGTAGTCGATTCCCTCCTTCTCCTTCAACACCTGCAGGTCACTGTGAAGAGGACTGTCTGGATCCACACTGAGCACACACACACACACACACACACTCAGCTTTCTGAAAACTCGTGACTAACAAGCAATAATGGGAAGATCCAGTGTTCTTACGTTCTTATCTTCACATGCCACTCGTACAGGCTGTCGTTGAACAGCTCCACTGAGTAGATTCCTGGAGAACAGAGTAAAGCAGAGTAAGACGAGCACCGACCCTTCAGTCACACTCATGACAATCAGTTATCAGGAGTCCAAACCGTTCTTATAACTCTGAGACCGGTAGATCTCCCTGAGCTCCTTCATGAGGCGATCCGACGCTTGAACGGATCCAGAGACAGCGCCCTACAGGACCCGAGAGAACACACTCAACACATCAGCTCATATGAATCCCGGAGCTCAGACAACAACACGAGACGGCTCATTTACAATATTGCAGATTCACTGGAGCACTTTAATGTTAACAAATGAAACCTGATTGTTATTATATTAGCTAACGTGAAATAACAATCCAAGTTCAAATGTAACATTAGTTAATGCACTGTGAACTAATATGACGTTTTTAGTTAAGTAACAAGCAACGTTTAATAAATATGTAAAAATATAATAAATGAAAGTGTTCATCATCAGTTTATGCGTTAATGTTAACGAATAAGAGTGTATCGTAAAGCATTACCCCCTTTTAAAGAATATGTAATGCTACAATACAGTCAAACGGTGCAAAAAGTGCAATGTGTAACTATGTATTAAATTGTGTCATTATTGAATTATATTTATTCTTTTTGGGAGAAAATGTTTAACATCATTGCAGCTTATAAGGTGAAATCTAGGTTAAATGACAAAATACATCAATTAACTAAAAACCTATACAGGATGTTTAAAATCAAGTCAAGCCAATTCAGTAAAGCCAAGAAAGTAAATTCAGTAAGTAAAGTCAAGTAAGTAAGTAAGTAAAATCAAGTAAGTAAAGTTAATTTAAGCAAGTAAAGTCAGTAAAGTAAATCAAGTAAAGTCAAGTAAGTAAAGTAAAGCCAAGTAAGTAAATAAAATTAAGTAAAGTACGTAAAATAAGTAAAGTCAGTAAAGTAAATCAAGTAAGTAAAGTCAAGTAAGTAAAGTAAAATAAGTAAAGGCATTAAAGTACAGTGTGTAAAGTACGTAAAGTCAGTAAAGTACGTAAAGTCACTAAAGTCAAGGAAGTAAAGTCAGTAAAGTCAAGTAAAGAAAGTAAAGTAGTAAAGATGTAAAGTCAAGGAAGTAAGTAAAGTAAAGTCAAGGAGGTAAAACAAGTAAAGTAAAATAAGTAAAGTAAGTCAAGGAAGTAAAGTCAGTAAAGAAAGTAAAGAGTAGTCAGTAAAATCAAGTAAGTAAAGTTAATTTACGTAAGTCAGTAAAGTAAATCAAGTAAAGTACGTAAAATAAGTAAAGTCAGTGAAGTAAATCAAGGAAGTAAAGTCAGTAAAGTCAAGGAAGTCTAGGAAGTAAAGACAGTAAAGTCGGTAAAGTCAAGTCACTGAACCGATTTGTTCAAAACCCCGCATGAGGTTAAATGACAAAATACATCAATTAACTAAAAACCTATACAGGACGTTTAAAATCAAGTCAAGCCGATTCAGTAAAGCCAAGAAAGTAAAGTCAGTAAGTAAAGTCAAGTAAGTAAGTAAGTAAAGTAAGTAAAATCAAGTAAGTAAAGTTATTTTAAGCAAGTAAAGTCAGTCAAGTAAATCAAGTAAAGTACATAAAATAAGTAAAGTCAGTAAAGTAAATCAAGTAAGTAAAGTCAAGTAAGTAAGTAAAGTAAATCAAGTAAGTAAAGTCAAGTAAGTAAAGTAAAATCAAGTAAAGTAAATAAAGTAAAGTACGTAAAATAAGTAAAAAAGTCAGTAAAGTCAGTAAAGTACGTAGAGTCAGTAAAGTATGTGAAGTTAGTAAAGTATGTGAAGTCAGTAAAGTATGTGAAGTCAGTAAAGTCAAGTAAGTAAAGTCAAGAAAGTAAAGTAAGTAAAGTAAAGTCAAGAGGGTCAAGCAAGTAAAGTAAGTAAAGGAAGTAAAGTAAGTCAAGGAAGTAAAGTAAGTCAAGGAAGTAAAGTCAGTAAAGAAAGTTAAGAGAGTAAAGTCAGTAAAATCAAGTAAGTAAAGTCAGTAAAATCAAGTAAAGTAAATCAAGTAAAGTATGTAAAATAAGTAAAGTCAGTAAAGTAAATCAAGTAAAGTATGTAAAATAAGTAAAGTCAGTAAAGTAAATCAAGTAAAGTATGTAAAATAAGTAAAGTCAGTAAAGTAAATCAAATAAGTAAAGTCAGTAAAGTCAAGGAAGTCTAGGAAGTAAAGTCAGTAAAGTCGGTAAAGTCAAGTCACTGAATCGATTTGTTCAAAACCCCGCATGAGTTTATTGACTGACGAAACACCACTGTACATTATTGCCACAGACGCGCAACTCTTTTGTTGTGGCTTGTCTGAAACTATTGTCCTTGGAGAAATAGAGCAAAACAAAGAACATTGACAAAGTTATGTCTAAAATGTCAATTATCACAATATTCACTCCGTTTACTGAACTGTCGTATAAACTCAACATCACATTTGCAATCGTGCTAATTTTCTGTAAACGGAGGTTAATATAAGTAATAAAAATAAAAACAACACATAAATATTTAAAAATCTGCTTTTATGAATATGGTCAATTTTAAGTCATCAAACCTAAAATCGAAAACGGAAGCTTTCGTCAGAAGAGGAGTAGTTTGCTTGCCTGATTTCATGAACATCACAACACTACATCACTCACTCTGAAGGCCATCAGACTGAACCTTCTCGTCATTATCAGTCCACCTCCATCTAATCAGGACTGTGAAACTACTGCTTCGAACAAAAGCCTCCATTTCACCCCACCAGAACCCCGAAACATGAGGAAAGTGACCTTACCGAATGAGCACTTACATTCAAGTGGTCCTGCCTCTGGTTCTTGCGGATCTTCTCCAGAATGGCCAAGTTCTCCTTCTCGATCCCGTCATCCTCTGACTTCTTCCCATCCACCGGCTCCTCCTCTTTCATTTCATAATGTTCCAGATCGATGTCCTGCTGACAGAGACACGGTTTTTATTTTTTTAAATGTGGTCAATTTAAAATCGATTCTCAGAGTCCACACATTTTTTCAATATTTTTCCCGCAAACATTGAACATGGGATTAACGTGATCTTATTATTAGTCTTCTACAACCAAACATTGACAGGCACATTTTTTGAAAGTGGCGTTTATGTTTACGCAAAAGTCATGATGTCATGTTGACCTGCAACTGTTCAGCATCAATGTTTCATCTTACCCCATAAGTATTGTATTTCAAATAAGATTAAGGAAGTTCATTTCAAGATCTTGCATAAAATATACCCAGTGAATGACACTGTTGCAAAATATATGGATGTTGACAGGAATGAAGATGAAACGCTGATCCATTTATTTTTCCAATGTGAAAAAACCCAAAACTTCTGGAATAGGTTATATCTTCACATAGGCAAGCACCTTGATTCTTCCAAATCCTTTCAATTAAAAGATATAATTTGTTACTATACAGAAGATAAAGCTAGTACTTCAATTAGTTACATTGTTAATTTTTTTATTTTGTTTGGGAAAAATTTTATTCACAAGCAAAAATTCTCTAAATCGCAGCCTACTTTTCCACATTTCTTAATTGAAATTGATACATTTCTGAAGTCTCTAAGATTGATTAAAAACAAGAAAAGTGACAGATTCTTGAAATATTATGATGATATTTTCACTGATGCATTTTATTTTATTTTTTATTTTATTTATTTTATTATTTATTTTTTTTCTTTCCATATGTGAAGCTTTATATACTTAATATAACATGTCGGAGTTCTATGTGTTTTTGTGCTCTGTACTTGCTTGTTATTTGATACATATTCAATAAAAAAAAAAAATAAAAAAAAATCAATGTTTCATCTTAAAATCCTGTCTATTCATTGTATGCATTTGAAATATAGAGTTGGATTCAGTTTTAATATACCTAAAATAAACAGTTTAATATACAAATTTGTGAAATTCTTAAATTATTTTTATTAACCAAATGTAAACTTATGTTCACTGTTCTTTTTTAATCAATATAGGATTCATATTAAATCTATATTCATTGAGTCGAATTGAGAATCGAATCGTGAATCAAAATCTAAATGAATTGAGAGCTTGCGAATCGGAATAGAATCAAATTGGAACATCTGAATCAACACAACGATCACACATCATGAGGAAAACTGATACGAACCTCTCCCATCTCCTCCTCCTCTTCCTCCTCTGATGTGACCTCATCCGTGGTCCCAAGCTACAAGACATTCGCAAAAAAAAAAAAAACATCATAAATTAATTCATTAATTATTTGCTCGTTTATCATCATATTGTGTACTTAGGCAATATACAGCAGAGTATCAGTGCAATCCTATTTCAATTATTTGTTGTATGAATTAAATTCGAATTCTAAAAATACATATTCGGAAATCAATGAACTTTACATGTTGGCTATGATGAACTTCATTAGTTGGACCGCAATCCAATGGCCAGATATAAAATATAATAAGACTTATTGAGGCCCAGTAACTGAGGTGGTCCTGTATCACCGACCATATCACCCTGTAGCCAGTAGGGGGTGGTGGTGATGGTGCAGTGGATGAGACACATGCCTTTGGTGTGAGAGACCCAGGTTCGAATCCACTGTGAGACACCAATGTGACCCTGAGCAAGACACTTAACCCCTAGTTGCTCCAGAGGCGTGCGACCTCTGACATATATAGCAATTGGAAGTCGCTTTGGATAAATGCGTCAGCTAAATGAAAATGAATAAATGCAGCCAAGAAGAGTTTGCCCACTGAAGCTAAGCAGGGTCGAGTCTGGTTAGTACCTGGATGGGAGACCAGAAAGCCATGTTGCTGCTGGAAGAGGTGTTAGCGAGGCCAGCAGGGGGCGCTCACCCTGTGCTCTGTGTGGGTCCTGATGCCCCAGTTTGCCCAGTGGCCTCTTATCGGTCCATCATGGCCTCCTAATCATTACCATATCTATATATACCCATTGGATTCATCAGCTGGTGTGTGTGTGTGTGTGTGTGTGTGGGCGTTGCATCATCAACATTGGTGGTGGTTGAGGAGTAAAGCGCTTTGAGTGGCGAGAAAAGCACTATGTAAAATGTCATGAATTATTATTAAAGAGGTTCACCTTGCGGTCCGGGTTCAGGGGCGCTGCGGGGAGTGGCTGGTCCAGCATCTCCACATCAGGGTGTTGGGGAAGATTATAGAGGCGACACAGATCACAGATCAGCCTCTTCAGCTGCTGCAAGAGCTGAAACACAAACACACACGAGCAAAGCTCACAAATCACACAGAAACATGTCCCTGAAGTGGAAAACAGGAGAGCAACACATCCCACATAATAAACACTTGAAGGATTAGTTCACTTCAGAACTAAAACTTCCTCATCCAAGATGTTCATGTGTTTCTTTCTTCAGTGGGAAAGAAATGAAGGTTTTTGAGGAACACACTCCAGGGTTTCTCCATATAATGGACTTCAATGGGGTCCAACGGGTCCAGATGTGAGTTTCAGTGCAGCTTCAAAGTCTCGACACGATCCAATAAGAGTCTGATCATGACAAACCAGCGACATTTACAACAAAATACACATTTATATACTTTTAACCACCAATTCTGGTCTTGAACGAGCTGTGATGGGACACACATTACGTAATCACGTTGAAAGGTCAAGCGTGATGTAGGCGTATGAACCGACCCAGTGTTTACAAAGCGAACGTGCAACGACTGAGTCAAACACAACTTACAAAAAAAAATAATAATATTAAAAGGTAAAACAACAATTTTGGACAATTTTTCCGCCTACGTCACGTTACCGCCTGACCTTTCGAATGTGATCACGTATTGCATGAAGGTGTGGATTGCATGAAATGTTTATAAATGTCGGCTGGTTTGTCTAGATCAGACTCTTATTCCTCGGCTGGATCGTGTCGAGACTTTGAAACTCACATCTGGACCTTCGACCCGTTGGACCCCATTGAAGTCCATTATATGCAGAAATCCTGGAGTGTGTTCCTCAAAAACCTTTATCAGGAAATATTAATTCTGAAGTGAACTAATCCTTTAATGGAAAAGATCATTTCTGACACTGACCCCAACCACTGTTATGCAGACAGAGATTAGTCAAGTCAAAACAGGACTTTATGGGTAATTTGTGCACAAGATCCGTTTCAGAGGGAAACAAGCAGATAGACTCACTTGCACGTACTGAAAATAAATCAGGCTTTATGAGAAGGAAGAGAGCAGTTAAGGAGCCGAATCAACTTTAATATACACACACTACTGTTCAAACCCTGGGGGTCAGTGAGGTGTGTTTTACAAGAAATCAATACTTTTATTCAGTAAGGACACATTACATTGGTCAAGTGACCGTAGAAACATTTATAATGTCACACAGGATCTCCATTTCAAACGTTTATTCATCAAAGAATCCTGAAAAATAAAATATATCACGGTTTTCACAAAAATCATAAAGTTAAACTTCTGAACCATTACATTGCCATCAGGAAATGAGCATGTGTCTGTTGGACTGAGCCTTTAAAGGATTCCTTTATACAAAAATGTATATTGTGTCTTGACTTATTAAACCCACGTCGGTCCATACTCGTATGAAGTTGTTGTTCTGTATGACACAAAAGTAGAAGTTCAGCAGAATGAAGACGAGGCTCTTCTTCATTCAAAAATCCGACAATAATCGCTCATGACCAACCAATGCGTCTGCCATTACTGATGTCAAACCTGTTACACGCACACGCACGAACAAGATTTGGAGTGAATGAACATCCAATCAGCACAAAGCATCGCAAGCTTTCAGAAGACGTGGTGTGTGTAAAACAGCTGCGTCAACATTCAGCCAATCGCCCTCTTTTGTGTTGAAGAACAAAGTCTGGAATGACAGAACTGTCCCGGTTAGCGAGAACCAACCCTTCAAGTAGAACCAGTTTAAATCTGGAAGATTTGACGAAGGTTGCCTGTTTTAGTCGGCCTAAAGCGCGCTGGTGTCCCAGTTAAAGGATTAGTTCACTTTTGAAAAAACTTTTGCTGATAATTTACTCGCCCCCATGTCATCCAAGATGTCCATGTCTTTCTTTCCTCAGTCGAAAAGAAATTAAGGTTTTTGATGAAAACATTCCAGGATTTTCTTCATATAATGGACTTCAATGGGAACCAAACGGTTCAAGGTCCAAAAGACAGTTTCAGATGCAGCTTCAAATGTCTTTAAACGACACCAGACGATGAATAAGGGTCTTATCATGCGAAACGATCGCTTATTTCAAAACTTAGTCCAAAAATGTAACTTTTCTAAGGACAAATGCTAGCCTTGCTCTATTCTGTGAGGCGCGTTTGTAACGTCACGTAATACGTAATTACGTTCAAAAGGTCACGGGCGACGTAGCCGGAAGTACAGAATCAAAATCGTCCGACATCGTTGTTTTACCTTTTAATTCCTTTTTTGTAAACGGCGTTTGAGTTAGTTTGCACGTTCAACCTATGCGTTCAACTTGTAAACACTGACTCTGTAGTTCTGGCTACGTCGCCCGTGACCTTTTGAACTTAATTACGTATTACGTGACGTTACAAACGCGCCTCACAGAATAGAGCAAGGCTAGCATTTGTCCTTAGAAAAGTTACATTTTTGGACTAAGCTTTGAAATAATCGCTCGTTTCGCATGATAAGACCCTTATTCATCGTCTGGTGTCGTTTAAAGACATTTGAAGCTGCATCTGAAACTGTCTTTTGGACCTTGAACCGTTTGGTTCCCATTGAAGTCCATTATATGAAGAAAATCCTGGAATGTTTTCATCAAAAACCTAAATTTCTTTTCGACTGAGGAAAGAAAGACATGGACATCTTGGATGACACGGGGGCGAGTAAATTATCAGCAAAAGTTTTTTCAAAAGTGAACTACTCCTTTAACCCATTACTGACAACAAAAGTTTATAAAAAGCACGGCTCAGAGACGTGTGTGTGTGTGTGTGTGAGATCGCTCATATTACACTGTTTAGTGTGTTGTGTAACGGTCGACTCGATTACAGTGGAGCTCGGCTGGTAATTACTATTTACTGCAGTTCAAAGCATCGTGATTACAACACCTACCCCGCTCAACACCATCTTTAAGATTCAGTTTATTAGTAATTACCTTCATTTACTGTCTCTCAACATGATATTTAGCTTTAAAAGACAGGATCTCTTGAGTCGTAAATGACATTAGTGTGTGTTGTGTTGCACTGAATGTCAGTTTGCTTATTTTGCTCCAGATCAGGATTTATTGAGCAAACGAGAGACTCTGCTTCTAACCACAGGTCGAGATCTGTCGCTCACACACACAACTCTGCGACGCTGTTCGTTAGAACGATGGTTTCGGGAAACACCGACTCGCTGAACTGATGATAACGACAGAACTTGCGACCATAGTTGCTTTCAGAAACACACTCCGGTTTACTTCCTGTCTCTATGAAGCCCCTCCTTCTGAAAAGGACACTGTGCTCTGATTGGTCAGTTGGAGAAGTGTGTTGTGATTGGTTGTGTTAGAATTAGGAAATGTCCCGCCCCTTCCCAAAACTGCCAGTTTAACGCTACTAACTAACTCCACCAGGCCCCGCCCCTTTATTCTGCGAATTAATTATTATAATGAGGAATATTGTGACATGTTCGTTCCCGGAAGACACTCGAGACTACAATGGAGGCGTTTCAGGAGTTCAGGAACACTGACACTGATATAGAGGAGAACTGGAGCGTTCCCATGAGCACAGATGAACTGAAGCGGAGCAGGACCCCTGTAATGCTTTATTAACAGGTTTATGAAGAAGATGGAGATGGTTTACCAGCGTGTTTCCCTTCCTCACGTCCTCCAGCCGCTCCAGAACTTGAGTCAGACTCGGGTCATCGGAGTCCACAAACCATATCGGGGACGTCGAGGGGTAGGACTCCTGCAAGACACGCCGCCACACATTACCCAGAGTGCAATCTGAAGAGCAGAACCAGTGGAAGCGTGGGACTGGGCCGAGCCCATCTCTCGTGAACGGATCAATGCGGAAGACCGGCGTTATTTACATGACTTAAATTATGTAAAAGAGTTCACGGTTCTCACTCAGACTCATTTCAGAGAACACTTTCTGCTAAAAAGGCTCTATATGAGGGGCTTAGATTATTGCATAATACTTATTTTTTTAACGTATGTTTAGGAGCGGTTTAATTCAAAATTGAATTGAAATTAGAATAGAATTAAAACTAGATGTCCCGATGGCGGTCGTCTGCATCATAAACCCGGCCAGCCCTTCTCTGCTCCTAATCCTGCTTTTCCTTCAATTCACAGTTATGTGACTTCACTATCACTGTAAAATGTGGCAAATCGTAATAATAATAGTAATAATAATGAAGAAAGAGGTGTCGGAGCGATGAACGGTAGAAGTGGCGTAATTCCAACAGCAGGTCCAGGAACTTCCATAAAACTTGCTCATATTTACATATTTACATCTATAAACATCCAAATATAGGAAAAGGTTGTTCATTTTTAAGTCTTACACTTTATTTTACAGTATTACTCTTAACTCAGGAACGCAGTGGTGCTATAAGGATCAGGGTTTGTAGTCCAGTTATTACTATAATAAGAACATCGTTATGCATGTGCGAAACAGGACTGTAAGGTTTCATTAGTCAATGAAGAATACTTCAACAGCATTTATTAATCTCAGTCTAAACATTACGAATACATTTCTAAGCTCAACAGTAGTATGTTGACATTAGCTAATTAGCAATAGCATTGCGAAACATCATGAACAGTTTTAATAACTAACAGTAGTAAATGTGGTAAAAAATAAACTGCTCATTGTTAGTTCATGTTAGTTTATGTTCAAAAAGAGGACCTTATTGTTATACAAACACTAATATCCTTCAGTAATTCATGCACTCTGAAATAAAAGTAAATATGAGCCTCAGGTTCAAGGCTCGTTTTCATTTGTGAATTAACGGTTCTCGTTTATAGTTGACGATTATTTGTCCCAATTTTATTTCCAGTGGCTCTACACATAAAAAAACACACAAACAAACAAACACTTTGCATCTTTAAGCACTGTATACTGTTTGTTATTAAAATGTGTTGCTATGATGAAACATTTTGTTTAATACATGCAAGTCAAGAAAAATAGAAATAATAAATAGTACTATAGTGAGAAAAAAAGTTGTTAATAATGTTAATTAAAACTTATTTAATTAAAAAAGTTATACTCTCCAAATAATATTTTACGCATTTATAATATCCATTTCACCAGATAAATAAATCAATCAAAAATCAAAAAAATAAATTATCACCAGATAAATAAATAAAATTATTAAAATAAATAAAAAAACGATTTAGTAAAGGGTTTGAACACTATTATAATTAGTAGAAAGAAAATGTCAAATAAAAACATTTTACATTAAAAAAGTAACATTATTATTTTTATAAAATAAATATATAAATAAAATAAGAAAATAATAAGTAAGTAGAAAACTTTACATTATTATTTTAAGAAAAACTAACTATTTTCCAAATAATATTTTAAACATGTATTCATTTTTACAGTATAAATACAATAACAATATTAAAGTAAATAAAAAAGACATAAATAACATCTAACAGTACAGTACTAAAATAAGTAGAAAATATGTTTTATTATAATTAACAGACACCAAATATTTTTCCAAATAATATGCTTTATGCATTTCTAATTTTCATTTTCAGTATAAATAATACAAAAATATTTAAATAAGCACTATAATGAGTTAAATATTACATTATTATTTTAATAGACCAAATATTTCCAAATAATATTTTATGCATTTAATATATTCGTTTTCAAAGTATAAATAATAATGTAAAAAATATCTAAATAATATCAGAACAGTTCTATGATTAGCTTTTTTTTTTACATTATTATTTTCAAATGATATCGGACACATTCAGTGTCAGTTTTCACAGAACAAACTGGGTATTTCACCATGAAAATAAATAGCTGCCTTTTAAGTGTTATGATATTTAATCATGCTCATATGTGTGGATTGATGACGTCAGAGTCGCCACAGAAAATGGCATCCGGAAATTAAGAAAACCCATGAAACGAGACACCAGAACTGGGTCAATAAAGGTCTCAGAAGTGCGCACTTCACAACAATGACTCCTGGTTGATTAACTTTAGGATAATAAAGCTGAGGTGAAGCTAGTATGAACACACGGAGCTGAACACTGATGTTTAGCGACGCGAACGCGCTTGAGTTCGGTTATTATCGAAGCCACGGGTTCGACGGCGCGCGCCCGAACCCACCGTGTGTTGTGATGACGAGTGTGTGTGTGTGTGTTCGGTGTCGGTCTTACCGTGATGTTGCAGTGGATGATGAGCAGCTTCTCTCCGGTCACGTTGAACTGGCAGCTCAATTCGTCCGGCTTCCAGTCCAGAATCCTGAAGCGCTCGTGATTCGGGTCGAAAATGGACTCCAGAAACTTCAGCTCGGCCTTCAGTCCCGAAACCGACATGTTCCTCTACTCATCTCCGGGCATCAGGAGCCGAGAAACCGAGAGAGAGGCGGACAAAAGAAGAAGAAGAGACGCGCAGTTGCGATCCCTCCGCCGTGTTTTTGTGGATGTCAGTGCAGAAATGAAGCGGTTTAATCACCGGACGCGCTCTGAATAAGTGCCTCAGGTCTTTGCTAGTCCAATCCGTCGATTTAAAACGCAGATCTGGAGCTCAAAGTGTCATAAATGTGTGTGTGAAGGCAGGATCTTGTGTGTGTACGACTGAGCGGAAGCTGTTTCTCCTCCTCTGGGGTTTAAAGATGGAGGCGCGCGTGGAGGACCCGCAGTCCCAGCATGCACCGCGGCCTCGAACGAACGCACAGGATACAAATGAGAACCTGAAACTGTTTGTTTTGGGCGTACTGTCTGGACATTAATAAACAACAACAACAACAAAAAAATACATAAGCACAACATTTGTAAAATGACTCATAGTGGCGATTGTTAAGTTTGTTAGCTCTACTGCTAGAAGATCTTATGAAAATAGGAGTTATGGTTATAAGTTAAATAAGTTATGTAGCCTACTTTTACTGTCTGGTTATGAGTGACCAACAGTGTTGTTGTTTTTTTTAATAAAATGATGAAAATGTCTGCAAAAAACTGCTGGAAAAGATCAGATCAACAGCAAAATATGGGCAAACAAGGAGGATGAGGAAGAAAAAACAAGATAAAGAGGAAGAAAACATATTACAACATGTTGAATAACCTGATATCTAAATTTGTGTCTTGTAATATAACAATTTTCTTATCCAAAGAGTGGAGGCATAGCCTACTTTTATGTATTGAAATTAATAAGGCATCTTTGAGTAAACTTCGAGTAGGCTATCATTTGAGTATCTGTTTGCCGGGCCGAGTGTCCTGGTTTTTAGTAATCAAAATATGGTCATCCAAAGTTATGGTATGAAATCAACTAATAAAAACCATTAAGCACAGGAAGCACAGGAACGTTATCCGATCATTCTGTGTGTGTATAGGAAGAAAAAACAAGTCTACTATTAACGTTTTCGTTTGTGATTCAGTGGTTCGTTTGTGATCTGTGTGTGTGTGTGTGTAAGGGCCGTGGTGTGAGGGCAGGTGTGTGTAATGTCTACAGTGTTCCACTAGCTGGTGCTAGACATCCACCATCTCCAGCTTCATCTGCAGAAACACTCAGCAGAGCACTTTTAAATATTAAACTATAATATATTACATATACAGCCTATATAATAAATAAGTTAATGGAAAACACTGGCGCTGTGACTGACTGTAGATCAGAGATCAGGCACGTGTTTGCGGGATATAGAATTCTGTTCCATGTTCATTATTCAAAATCATACACTTTCTGGTTATGATAATGTAGCTTATGCAGCATTTTATCACTTATATTTGGCATCAATGTTTAATTTGTGTGTGTGTGACAGCTCTCAGACAAACACTGCCTCGTTAATAAGGCACAATCTAATAATGAAAAGTGAGTGGTCAGTGATGAAATGCAGATAATGATGTCATATAAGTGTGCGTCATAGTATTATATTTTAATTAAAATGTAATTTTTGTTTGATAGTATGCTTTAATTATTTTGACATAAATTTATCTAACGTCATAAAACAGGAATTATGATTATAAAATTAATCAATTAAAACAAAGAAAACTGTAAAATGCTGAAAAACAGCTAATAATTGTTGACAAAAAAAAAAAATATTTAATGGAAATTTTGTTCCATTGACCTAAAGAGTTGATAATCAATATAATATAATATAATATAATATAATATAATAAAGAAAGTAATTTTAATTATCTGTGATCCCATATATGTTCTTGGTTAAAAGGGAATATATGTTTTTATTATTTTGTTGTAAATGTCTGCTGGTTTGTCTTGATCAGACTCTTATTGGATCGTGTCGAAACTTTGAAGCTGCACTGAAACTCACATCTGGACCTTCGACCCGTTGGACCCCATTGAAGTCACTGTGGAGAAATCCTGGAGTGTGTTCTTCAAAAACCTTCATTTCTTTCCCACTGAAGAAAGAAACACATGAACATCAGCAATTTTTCTCCAGCACAACAGAGCAACGGGACATGAAGACCAGACACGTGTTATTTATGAATGTTCACTGACTAGTTATTAATTCTATTCTAGAGGTTTGACATGTTGTGCATTTAGGCGACATTCACGAGCCCGAAGCGTGTGTGTGTGTGTGTGTGAGTGTGTTCTTCACAGCTCGAGTGAAGGATGACCTTCTGCTGTACACGCTCATTCCAAATACAATCACATTTTCACTAACACGTTGACCTCACATGCCTTTTATGTGTGTGTGTGTGTGTGTGTGTAAGCTATGTAACCTTCCCATCAACTACTGTAGTTCAAATATTTGCATATGGATAAAGTTCATGAACTCACTTTATTTGATCTGTTTTGTAGTGATTTTCACATTGAGGCACGCGTGTTTTATTGGAGAGCAGGTGAATGTTCTGGTAAATGTGTGTTATAATGATCTGCCGTAATGATAGTGATCTGATGTCTCTTGTTTGGACCAGCGGCTGTGATGGGACAGTAATGATGGAGCGTCCCGTTATCAGTCCCGGATCCTGCCGTCCCGGACCCGAGAGGACAAGCGCTCGTCGATGGACTGAATCAATGCCATTTCCAGCTGATAGTCTGTAATTGCTGAAAATCAATTGGAGGAAGGATGTAAGTCCTAAAGAACATATAGATCTGTGTGTGAGTTTTGTTAAGTGAAGTGTTTTAACGGATTATCAAACAGAACGGTCCAAAATCAGGTTTTATTCTTAATATTCCGGCTGCACTATTTGGGATAAATGTTAAAATGATTATGTTTGCTCTGCTTGTTTGTAGAGCTGCTTAATATGGCCAAACATGTTGTGATTAAATCTCAATATGATAATAAAATAATATAATGTGCTGTTCCATTGTTGTTCCTCTGTGAAATGTAAGCCACTAACACACACTGTATGTTTCTTCTTAAAGTGAAATGTTCAAAGCAATATCACACTGACCTTTTGTAAATGTTTTCATTTTCTTGGCACTGTAATTTCTTTGTGAGGGGATAACCATACAATATAGTCCTCATGTCAGTCAAAAACTCATTATGACATTAAGGGGAAAACACTTATTTTGTGTGCATGAAGAGAGTCAGGCACTAAAGCAGTGTGTGTGAAGAACAGCTCGATGAAGCGCAGCACACGTGGCCGACTCACAGAACGAGTGCACTGCTGTAACCGAGTCGCTTCTTTATGGTGTCAGTGGGGACGTGTAGTTTGTCAGCTAGATGTACGACATCGCTCTAATAGAGAGGAGGAGTGGGGTCGCCGCGGTGAGTCATACGTTAGTATGTCAGTGGGGTCGCTGCGGTGAGTTATATGTCAGTGGGGTCGCTGCGGTGAGTTGTGAGTATGTCAGTGGTGTCGCCATGGTGAGTCATGTGAGTGGGGTCGCCGCAGTGAGTCATATGTTAGTATGTCAGTGGGGTCGCCGCAGTGAGTTATATGTGAGTATGTCGAGTTATATGTCAGTGGGGTCGCTGCGGTGAGTTATATGTCAGTGGGGTCGCTGTGGTCAGTTACATGTCAGTGGGGTCGCCTCAGTGAGTTACATGTCAGTGGGGTTGCCTCGGTGAGTTACATGTCAGTGGGGTCGCCTCGGTGAGTTATATGTCAGTGGGGTCGCTGCGGTGAGTTATGTGTGAGTGGGGTCGCTGCGGTGAGTTATATGTCAGTGGGGTCGCCGCGGTGAGTTATATGTCAGTGGGGTCGCCGCGGTGAGTTATATGTCAGTGCGGTCGCTGCGGTAAGTTATATGTCAGTGGGGTCGCCGCAGTGTGTTATATGTCAGTGGGGTCGCCGCGGTGAGTTATGTGTGAGTGGGGTCGCTGCGGTGAGTTATATGTCAGTGGGGTCGCTGCGGTGAGTGATATGTGAGTGGGGTCGCCACGGTGAGTTATATGTCAGTGGGGTCGCTGCGGTGAGTTATATGTCAGTGGGGTCGCTTCGGTGAGTTATATGTCAGTGGGGTCGCTGCGGTGAGTTATATGTCAGTGGGGTCGCTGCGGTGAGTTATATGTCAGTGGGGTCGCTTCGGTGAGTTATGTCGTGGGGTCGCTAAGGTGAGTTATATGTCAGTGGGGTCGCTAAGGTGAGTTATATGTCAGTGCAGTCAATGCGCTGAGTTATATGTCAGTGGGGTCGCCAAGGTCAGTTATATGTCAGTGGGGTTGCTGCGGTGAGTTACATGTCAGTGGGGTCGCTGCGGTGAGTTACATGTCAGTAGGGTCGCTGCGGTGAGTTATATGTCAGTGGGGTCGCCGCGGTCAGTTATATGTCAGTGGGGTCGCCAAGGTCAGTTATATGTCAGTGGGGTCGCTGCGGTGAGTTATATGTCAGTGGGGTCGCCGCGGTGAGTTACATGTCAGTGGGGTCGCTGCGGTGAGTTATATGTCAGTGGGGTCGCCGCGGTCAGTTATATGTCAGTGGGGTCGCTGCGGTGAGTTACATGTCAGTGGGGTCGCCGCGGTCAGTTATATGTCAGTGGGGTCGCTGCGGTGAGTTACATGTCAGTGGGGTCGCCGCGGTGAGTTACATGTCAGTGGGGTCGCTGCGGTGAGTTACATGTCAGTAGGGTCGCTGCGGTGAGTTATATGTCAGTGCGGTCACTGCGGTGAGTCATGTGAGTATGTCAGTGGGGGTCGCCGCGGTGAGTTATATGTCAGTGGGGTCGCCGCGGTGAGTTATATGTCAGTGGGGTCGCCGCGGTGAGTTATATGTCAGTGCGGTCGCTTCGGTGAGTTATATGTCAGTGCGGTCGCTTCGGTGAGTTATATGTCAGTGCGGTCGCTTCGGTGAGTTATATGTGAGGGTGATCTGTGGGTTCATTAAAACATCTGACGTTCTTCCTCATGTGCAGTGAGAGGCACTCACTGAGAGGAAAGAGGAAAGAGCTGATGCTGCAGTCGAGATTATAAGGACATTAAAGTCCTTTTGATTTTGGATGCATGTGAATCTGTTGTAGGAGACCATTAAAACTACATTAGGGTATTGGAATAGCATAATAGTGGTACTTTAAAATTTTGCTGTGTTATTTATTTCCCTCATATTTACATGATGTCATGACGTTGTGATTTCATTGACTTTTGTTGTAAAGATCATTGAGAGTATCAGCACTGCGAGTGGCTCGATTAACGAGCTCAGAGTCATTTGTAAATGATAAATGAGCGGCGTGATATATTTGAGCGAAAGGCTTCATATATCACGGCTAACATCTCAATGAATCAATAAACTGGAACCAATTATGGATTGCACTTTTTCACAAAATCTAAACGCTTTCAAGCCTTTGAGACATTTCTGAAACTTCAACAATCTCGCTGTGATTTAACAGTCTCTGGAGAACAGCCAGTGTCTAATGAACTTCTAATAACTTGGCCACTTTAACGAAACTCAGATCAGTCCAAGCTGCCAAACTGAGTAATCAGTGTTGATCCAGCGGGCGGTGTCCTGAAGGTCTAATACAGACACAGTCTCTCTGACACACGTTTAAATGCAGCATTGCTCAACATGACGAACGAGCTCCGCATAACGCGGTGTCACTGTAACATATGGTGTCGAGGTTTATGAATCTGAGCGGAAACACAATCACACACTTCGTCATGTTCGCAGAAGCCCCTCTTATTGCTGACTCTGAGTATTTTCCATTGCAGTTTGTCATTCTGGAAGGAAGCGTTCCCAACAACACGACAAGAGTAATCCAATTTACCAACGACTGGAGATCTGTCTCGCCTGAAGGAAGACAGAACATCAACATCACAGAAAACACAGGCTTTGCTTTGAGCTCTAATGCCTTCGAAGAGCCGTTCTTGCTTTAGTAATCCTGTAGCTCAACAGTGGGTCATAGGTTTGATTCCCTGATAAAATCAATGCAATGTAAAAACAAAAGGTGTCTACTAAATGCATTAATGTAAATGTTACTGTTTTTCTACTCAGTGCTGTGAAAGCCCGCAGAAACATCTTTTAACCCTTATGCTGCATTAGGGACATTTTTGGTCTTTTGCAGTTTAATTTCTTTGACCATTTTGGCTGTTTTAATGCAAATGGTATGAAATTTGGCAAAATTGTGACTTTTTGGATACATGTAAAAAATGTGATCCCATTTTGCAAAATATGTATAACACACACTGTGTAGATCAAATAGTAACACTCAGCACCATAAAGACCAAAAATGGCCCATTGAAACCCATTAAAACGTTGTTTAAATCTGAGGCTGTCAGTAATACATGAAACATGATTTTTGCACAAACATCCTTTCATTTTGAAGCATTTTGAAGCAAAATTATATTTGCATTATATAGTGTATTCCACCAGATGACGTCACTACATATTTATTCCCTATGGGTGGAAATGCACCTTATTTTAGGCAATAGGCAATGTTTAATAGGTGGCCATTTTTGGTCTCTAACGCGCTAAGTGGGATTTTTTGCAAAGTGGGACTGTGATAATCCAAATCTAAAGTTTTCTCTTTGCATTTAGTTTATTGAAAATAATTGAATTTTTGTGTTTTTTCCTCTTATACAAATCGATGGTTTCGCAAACAAAACTGGTAATTAAAGGGTTAAAATCCTGAAATTGAATACATTTTTGGTAGTTATGATGAGGACTGATGCTGGTTAAAAGATTTAACTTGGTAAAAGTGGAAAATAATAATAATATATAATATTTTAGGCAATGTTTAATATGTGGCCATTTTTGGTCCTTAATGCACTCAACGGTGTTAAAAATCTAATGCAGCACAAGGGTTAAAGGCTTTAAAATGCTCAAAACAAAACCACTATATGTGCCTGTGCATTTTTCTGTTCATTTGAATAAAATCATCCGCTTGGACATTAAAACGTTTGATTTGCAAAGACAGACTGACTCTGTTCCAGTGATTCGACTCATCACATCCAGCTGTGGGAAATGAAAGACAAACATTGAAGTGTTTTATGACACTCACGAGAGACATTAATATGTTAATGCAATTTCTAAAAGGACAGTGTGTTAGCGTGAACCGACTCCACAACAGGCACACTATAAACATGCTGCGGTGTTTGGGTCAATTATGGACAAACCCAACCGTTGGGTTAAACGTTTCACTTCAAAAAGGTGAACCAATGGTTGGGTTTGTCCATATTTGACCCAAACAAGATGATGGGAAGCACTAATGGGTTTGTGGACTCGCCATGTCTTGTAACACGGGTTATCAGTGTGTGTCCTGAGCAGCGTGTGTGTGTGTGTGTGTGTGTGTGAAGACTGGGTAATGTAATAACGAGAGCGCTGGGACGCTGTAATCGCATCAGGCTTCAGCGGCTCGATGTGGGGCAGTGTGTGTCCGTCTCTCTGCATTCTCCCTAACCAGCAGACATAATCAGATCCAGTGTGTGTGTGTGTGTGTTTGTGTGTTAATTTTTGGTTGACTGTATATTCTGTGAGTCGGAAAGCTAGAGTTCAGTCCTGAAGAGATTCATCGGACAGTTATACAGCTAATGTAGTTTATGGGTCTGGAGTGTCCTGTCACGAGAACACAGACCTGGCTTAAGTCAATTAGCTAAGAGGGCAGACCTGGCTTAAATCAGAGAGAGAGAGAGAGAGAGAGAGAGAGAGAGAGAGAGAGAGAGAGAACAGGAGGGGGAGAGATATATAGATATAGATATAAAGAGAGAGGAGTGAAGAGAGAGAGGAGCTTCATATAAACCTCTTCAGTCGAGCTGCAAAACCCGTTTAATGTAGGATTTGTGTGTGTGTGTGTATGCTTAATCACATCACACAGTTTATTAGGGGCCAGTGAACACTTACTTGACCCTAAATAGCTTTCTGTGGCCCATTTACATACTAGCATGCTTTCATAACTTAATACGAATATTAGCAAAACGTTCTATTTATAGAAAAATCTATTTATGGGAAAATTGCAGTTCAGAGATTGCGGGATTTCAATGTCCGAAAATGCTGATAAATACAAAAATACAAACATGATTGGAAATAATTACTGATAATTCAGTTACGATAAATTTACACCCTAAAAATGCTGGGTTGTTTTAAAAATTTTGGTCAAATATGGACAAATTTAACCCAACGACTGGGTTTGTCCATATTTGACCCAATTTTTTAGAGTGTTGCATCAATACTGAGCAAATAGCAGTATATGACTATATAATAAGAGTATATTTACAAAAATAAGTTCTTACTGGTGTCTTTCTGAGGCGAGCTCTGATATAAAGAAACCAGTCGAAGATTATTGTGTTCATGATGGTTTTCTGAATCACTCAGGAAATACACTTCTGTGCCTGGGAGAAATAAATACATGGGCTAAATGAAACTGTGAGTGTGTTTGAGATGAAACCAATGTGTGTCTGTGAGTTACACACACACACACACACACACAAACAGATGGAGCCGGACTCTCAGAGGCGAGGAGGATCCAATCACACACACACACACACACACACACACACACACACACACACACACACACACACACACACACACACACACACACACACACACACACACACACACACACAGATGGGGCCGGACTTTCAGAGACGAGGAGCATCCAATCCAGATCCAATCACACACACACACACACAGAGAGAGAGAGACTGGTATCTGCTGCTCGGACGCCCGCTGGCTCTGACCTTCTGAGTTAATGGATGTTTTTGTGCTATATTAATGTTAAGTGGGAGATTTAGCGGCGATTAATGTTTTGTTATGCTAATTTAGAAGTTTTTCTGTTAATGTTGGTTTTGTGAGAGTTGTCATCAGTGTTGTTGCACTCATACAGCATTGCTATATTGTTACAGTAATATATTTACAAATTAGTATGTTAGCAAGCTACCTGTTAGCTAAGTTTACATAGTTCCCACATGCCGTCACATCATACACATTTATTGTGAGTGTTCACAAATATAAGTGAACACTTTTCAGTTTGAATAATGTCCACATGAAAATACTGTATCTGAGGCGAAGCTGCATAATCTTTTTTGTTACTGCAAACGGATCCACACCATTTATCAATAAAATGTTTGCATTGTACCTCTCTCTGTCTTGTTTTAAAGGGTTAGTTCACCCAAAAATGAAAATTAAGTCATTAATTACTCACCCTCATGTTGTTCCAACCCTGTAAGACCTTCGTTCGTCTTCGGAACACAAATTAAGATGTTTTTGATGAAATCTGAGAGCTGGATCACTCACTAGTCCATAGGCTTCTTGAGGGATTGAAACTTGCCGGCCTCTAGAAGTTATTAAAGACATTGTTAAAATAGTCCAAGCAATTCAATTGTGGATATCAAGAATAGACATTTCAACCTGTAACAATTGAATTCTTGCTATCAAAAATAAAAGTTTTTACTAGTAACAATTGTATTTCTGATATGAAATAGAAACTAGTAATAAATCAATTCTTGATATCAACGATTGGTTTTGAATATGGTGACATTTCACTAGTGAAAATACAATTGTTGATATCAAGAATTCATATCCTGGAAGTGAATAAAAGCTAAAAGGGCTTGCCACACTGAAGGACGTTCCCTGACCCGACGCGGAGCTTCATTACCGTCCCCTAATGACATCCAGAAGATCAACATCAAGATCGACACTGCCGTGAAATATGCGGCACATTAATATCTCTGCTGTATGACAGAACAAATCCTTCACAAACCCAGACCTTTAGAGGATTAGCTCACTTCAGAATTAATTAGTTAATTATCTCTCCTCCACCTCATCCAAGATGTGCACGTCCTTCTTTCTTCAGTGGGAAAGACATGAAGGTTTTTGAGGAACACACTCCAGTGACTTCAATGGGGTCCAACAGGTCGAAGGTCACTCAGTCCCAGGTTTGGATGAATTCTGTGTCCTGGAATGTTTTATGATTAAATTACTCACAGTTAAATTGTATAGTTCATTCTTAAGGATAATATTTTTCTTTTATAATATCAGCTGATGTAGCCGAACGCTCACATCACACACACACACACACACTCTGAGATTATTGATCCGTCGTGTGACTTACACACAAGGACAGATTCGGCCGATCCAGAAGCCCGTCAGACGCGGGTAAATCATTCTGTGCTTTGCCTTTATTCTAACTTCCAGATAATTATGATTTGTATGGTGTTTTTAAGGCTGTCCTTGACCTCTGCCGTCTGTAAAGCTGCACTTACATCACTACAGTCTCCGTTCCAAATGCTCTCTATGAATCCAGCGATCTTGTAAAATGTTAACAGGGTGTATTATTCGGATGTAATCGGCTGACGCTGTGGACATTACACACGTTCTGCTTTCACCTTCAGAACCGTAACACACTCTCACAACATCCTAAAGACTGAAGATGTTCAACACCGTTTATGGGACACTGGTCTATAAAAGCTTCATTTCATTTAGAACAAAAAGAGAAGCAGATGCAAATTTTAAAAGGACAGATTATCCAAGAATCAGTCGCTGGCTACGATTTTTCACGCTAGTGTCGATCCGAACCCGTGTGACCGTCTTTTTTCTGTGAGGTTTGGAGAATGTCTTCGTTTCTGTCCAGGACTCTGTCAATGTACTATGAAAATCAGTGGGGTCCAACACACACACAAATGTGTTTCAGCGCTGAGAGATTGATTGAGGTCCAGTATGACAGTTAATCTGCAGCAATGTAAAAACAGCACAGAATTATGTCCAATACAATACAATTTACAGGCCTGTTAATATAAGAGAGTACACACACATGCATAGCCTACCAGACAGCAGGATCGCAGAAGGACCAGCTCCTCCAACAAACCAGGGACAAAACAGGATCCTCTAGCCAGATACTCTGGATAAAACCCTCTGTTAAATGATGACTTTAAAATGTCACAAATAACAGTTTCATAGAATCTGCAGTTGCCCGACTTTTCAAGTGTTCCTGCAATGCAATGCAAAAAAACTAATGCAATGCAAAAAAATAAAATAAATTGCAATAAAATGCAATGCAATGCAATAAAATGAAATAAAATAAAGTATGTAATGCAAAAAAAAAAAAAAACATAATGAATAAAGCATGATTAAAATTATAGTATACAGTTAAATAAAAATGTTAAATTATTATGCAATTAAAATAGCAACCATTCAAATTAGAATCCATGATCTCATGAACATGATTAAACATTTTTAATGTTTTAATTGCGCAAATAAAAAGATGTGAAATTGATCATTGACAGACTCACATTGCATATATCTCAGGAGGTTCTTCGGGGGAATAAACACATGGAAGGGTTCATATGAGAGCGTCACACAGACCTGACATCAGTAATCTTTAAAACTCGTTAAAGCCCTAATGGCTCCATCCGTCTCCAGCGCTGAGGAGATGTAGATGATCAGACAGGTGAGAAGCACAGCAGTAATAGTGGACAGATATATGACGAGGGCTTCAGTGGACACTTGCACAAGAGTTATTAAAGATTATAACCTCAGTTCATTCAGTGCGTCTCGAACAGCTTACGTCTGAAAGTGTCCAGAGGATCAGGATCGCCACAGATCAGTCATTATGCTTCAAATTAAAAGTGAAATATAAAACACTTGAGATTAAGAAACGAATAAATTATGAGAGTGAGTGGTTATATTGAACCACATCTACACGTCTGTGTGCATGTGTGTCTCACTCTATAGAAGTGTCGGTCAAAAATGACAGAAATTACATTTTTATGTCAATGACATGAATGTACTATATTTTAGTTCGATCATGTTTTTCATTAAATATTTTGTAATTTTACACTCTAAAAATTGCTGGGTTGTTTTAACCCAACTTTGGGTCAAATCCAGCCATTGGGTTACATTTTTCAATTACATTTTTAACCCAACATTTGGGTTTGTCCATATTTGACCCAAAGTTGGGTTAAAACAACCCAGCATAGGGGATTTTATGGCACTACATTATATTTACACTGTATTTATAATCCATTTATTCACGTTTTGAGCATAAACCTGAAAATGTACAACCCGATCTCACGGGAATTCGTAGGAATTTTACGAGGTGGCTAATTCGTAACAATTCATACGACCTCACTTGTACAAATTAGTACGATTTTGCTGGCCAATTCGTATGAATTCGTACGAATGACCTACTCCTGACCCCGCCCCTAAACCTAACCATCACGTGGGTTTAGACAAATCGTATGAATTCGTACAAATTGGTCGTGGGTTAGGGTAGGCTTAAACTGGTAAATCTTGAACGCTTTAGAGCGACAGACTGGAGTTTGATCTCTTTATAAAGACGACGCTGGGCAGATTATTGATGAAGGGAAAAACGTTTTTAAAAAGTTCACTTACAAAAATTACAGAATTTTACGTTTATTGTCATGAGAAATGTGCAAAAATACTATTTTCACTATTTTTATATGAAATCTACATTTTCAAAAACACATTTTACTCTAAAACTGGAAGAAAATCCAAGCGCTGAACAAGTGTGTGAGCTGATGTCTCAGTAAACGAGCGTTCAGTGAGTGTGTGTTCGGCTGCAGTTCCACACGCTTCCACTAGAGGAAACTCTCATTCATTTCCAATGCGCTCGTTTCTGACGCGAACCGCACAAGTTGCTTTCAGGACCATTGAACCTGTTCAGATCATATCCATGATGTGTGTGAGTGTGTGTGTTCACACAGCAAGAGCCAAAACCTTGACCAAGTTTCGTACCAGTCCGATGAAGTTAAAAACAAAAACGTAACATTTTTCTCTCAGGGTCATCGCTGCTGTCCGCCGATTATGATCTGACTGTAATACCCACATGTGCTCATCCGCCACTTCAGTGTGTATATTGTCTTTATTGAGCACATAATCTGTGTTAACTGCATAAACATCTGAGCGAGGGCAGTGTGCCGTGGCCGTCCCGGGTCAGACGCTCAGATCAATACCTGTGTGTGTGTGTGTGTGTGTGCTACAGGAGCACTCGCGGTAATGAACTGCCCGTTTGATATATCTAGTGCTGAAACACACTCTGCTACACTCTGTCGCTCGACAAAACTCCCGTCCTGCGGCATCAACTCGGGTCTTTAACATCGAGATCTGGGGTTTCTTCTACCGTAACTTCCAGAACGTTCCCTGTCAGCTGGAATAATACGAAAAAGTTCATTACAAAATGTTGCAAATATAAACTTTTAGCGTGCCAGGGGAGTGCAGTGAGATCAGTGAGATCGGCCTGTGTTGTTGTTGCCGGAGTCTCTGAAGCTCGTATGAAGGCTCCGCCCTCTTCTGAATGGAGGCGGGGCTAAAGCTCATTTGCATTTAAAGGGACACACACTAAAACAACACGTTTTTACGCACACCCATAAAGGGACACATTTGACAAGCTATAATAAATGATCTTTGAATGAGATTTCATGAAGCATTTGTTGCAATAGGACACAGTTAAATAAACTGGGCTTCAGTCATATAGTGCCAAGTAATTCAATTGTGGATATGAAGAATAGACATTTCAACCTGTAACAATTGAATTCTTGATATCAAAAATAAAGGTTTTTACTAGTAATAATTGTATTTCTAATATGTGAAATAGAAACTAGTAATAAATCAATTCTTGATATCAACAATTGGATTTGAATATGGTGACATTTCACTAGTGAAAACACAATTGATCCAAAACAGGATCCTCTAGCCAGATACTCTGGATAAAACCCTCTGTTAAATGATGACTTTAAAATGTCACAAATAACAGTTTCATAGAATCTGCAGTTGCCCGACTTTTCCAGTGTTCCTGCAATGCAATGCAAAAAAATAATGCAATGCAAAAAAATTCAATACAATAAAATAAATTGCAATAAAATGCAATGCAATAAAATGAAATAAATAAAGTATGTAATGTAAAAAAAATAAATAAAGGGACACATTTGACAAGCTATAATAAATGATCTTTGAATGAGATTTCATGAAGCATTTGTTGCAATAAGGACACAGTTAAATAAACTGGGCTTCAGTCATATAGTGCCGTTCAGTTTCATCCACCCAGAAAACGAACCTCTGCTGCACGTCAAACGTAACGTCAAATCCTCTGAGATTCGAGTGTCCTGTTCATTCAGTGTGCTCCTCAAAGCCATAAATCAGCCTGTGTGTGATTGGATGGAGCCGGAGACGACTGGACACGACAGAAGCGCTTTAAATCTCTCACACACACCAAACCGCACGGGTGTCCTTCACCGGCTCTCTGACCACACGAGGAGTCGAGGGACAGTGCTCGATTGGGGATCTAAACACACAGAAGCGTCGGATTGCACTAATGCATCAATACAGACGTGACCTGAGAGTTATGCTTCTTCCTAGTCTATAAAATGCTATAAATATGATTCACTACACCCCCCAGATGCCCTACACATATTCTTAAACCACTTACATTATAATTTGCGTAATAGTCTTCCACATGGGTTTATTAGTAAAATGATTTTTGCCACTAATATGATTCATGGACCTCATTATAAGTTACTTTGCCTGTGTCATAATAACACTATAACAGCAATGCATTTTACATTTCACAGAGACCAATCATCCTCATAACATCAGAAACATGTGCGACGGACTCTTCTCTAAACATCAGATTCAGGAGATCCTCATTATAAATCAATCACAGCTCCATGACATTCATCTGCAGTCATTAGTGAATGATGATGATGATGATGATGATGTGATATTAATAACGTCACCCTCCAGATCCCACATTCATCTGTAAATATTTTTAAACCACTTACATTATGATTTCCCAGACAGTACACTGCTGCTGTAGACATTAGGGATGGTGTTCTTCTATTCGGTTTTATTGCAAGTAAAACTAGCATTGTTGCCACTAATATGATTTATGTTCCTCATTAAGTCACTTTGACTCTAAACAGTCCATTTGTTCGGCGTGGCACGTTTTGTTCTTCTAACACTGCCATGATGTCCAGAATATTACAAAGTGTTCCTGAACTCAGAATGTGAAGCGAGTGATGGAGAGAAGAGAAGAGGAAACGGCATCTGAGAAGAACAACTGTGATGGATTGAGGTCAGAGACATGACCTTTGACCTGCCCTGACCCCACACTGCAGTAAAACACCAGCGGGATCAGGTTAGGGTGTCACACGTTTTAAAATGTTGTGTTTGAGATCTCTATTTTGGACAATGCACCCCTTATAGCCTATTGCAGATGGGGCATGTTGTCACAAAGGGTCACGTGCTCATTAAACATTTGGTTAATAATAACGCTAGAAAATACGTATTTTTGCAGCCAAAGCTAAAACTGTGACAACTACCCCCGGTGTCCTGAGCGGCGGAGACGCGCAGTGTGTGTGTGTGTGTGTGAGAGAGGCTGATGCGGGAGAGTCTCTGGATGCCTCGCGCGAGACACACGCGCTGCCGGTGCCGTGTATCTTCATCCTCTTCATCTTCATCAGTGTTTTGTGGACTTCTGCGCCTGGATCGCGATGTTTGAACGCGACGGAAGAGCCGCGACGCGTCTGGAGAACACGCGCTCTTTCGTGACGCGCGCGCTTCCCGTTCTCCTGTGCGTGTTCACACTCATCAGAAGTAAGTGTAACGCGCATTCGTGCTTTACTGTGAAACGCGCTCGCTTTAGCTTTAGAAATGTCTTTATCTGATGTGTTGCTGTGTGTAGAATTGTGTGACCGTGTTTACTGAGATGGCAAGATACATGTTATAAACTTACAGCTGAATTATATGAAAGATGTACTAGTTTTTATTTAATTTTTTACTAAATAAGCGTCATTTTTGAGGAGTGTCATTAAAATAATGTGCACTTTCATGACATGAGATGAAGATTGGGATATGAAGAGTTTTAGAAGAATCTGTTTTTATTCTACACGGTCGCTCCCATATTGAAGTCACGTGATCAAGCCCTGTCCTCCAGTTGAGTGACAAGACAACTATAATGATATATGTCAACTTTATCTTGCTCATTCAGCTATAGTGTAGTACAAAGTGTAAATTACTTTATGAATATAAGTATAAAATCTAATGATAGACATGAAATCCAGTGTTATAAAAATGTTATTTCTACAGTTGATTCTGAACATTAAATGAACATCAGTCGTATATCGAGTGAAACGCTTCAGAACACATGTGGGCGGGGCTTGATTGTGTCTGTGGGGAGTTGATTGGCTGGTTGGCTGATGTGGTGTGAGTGACAGGTTATAGCCCCGCCCTCGTCATCAGAGAAGAGATGCTGCTGTTATTCTGATTCAAGATTATTAACACAATAATGATGTGCACCCATAAATCATTTACAATAAACATCACAATATATTCCATAAAAAAATGTATTTCTTGGTGACTTTAAGATGCCAATTTGTTAAAGTAAAGTCACGGTTCAGGGCGGCTGCTCTGTAAACCTCGTTATCTGCTATTTAGGCTACTTAAAAAAAATATGGTGACATAATGAATTTAATATTTATAGTGAAATTAGTTTTTTTAACATAAGTTGAATGTCAAAAGTGTGTGATTTAGAGTGAATAGAAAAACATCAAAACCTCAACGCTGCAGAAACTCTTCCAAATGTCCACAATAACTGAACTTTAAACATTAACACTTCATATCAATATTTAATCTCCATTTCTAGCCATATGCAAAGCATGCTGGGAACTAACAATGGTGTCTCTAATTAAAACCGCATAATTAAACGAATTCTCTTAAAATAAATAGGTAGCCTGTTTTCCTTTATCAGCTGATCGGTTCCTCGAGCCTCAGACCTGCCGACGGTTTCTTGGAAAATTAGGAGAATATCTCTTGGTTTTATTAGTGAAATGTTCTTAATATTTTCTGTACAACAGCAAACCAACATTTATTAATAAAATATACACAATATGTTTAATTATCACTAATTATCACAAATATTTTAATGGAATTAGAAATTAGACCCATGATTGCATCTATACAGTGTGTGTGTGTGTGTGTGTGTGTGAGAAGTGTGTCTCATGTACAGTATCTGCTGTGTAAATCCCTGAAGTGTGATCACACACTGATGTTCAAACACACACACACACACACACACCGTCTATATGACTTTTTATCTCTAATATGGAGAAGATAAACATGGTAAAAGTGGATCTGGTATCTTGTACGCTCTTAGTTTGAGTTGTATAATAACTCTGGAATATTGCAGTGTTTATTATAAATGATTTATGGGTGCACATCATTATTGTGTTAATAATCGTGAATCAGAATAACAGCAGCATCTCTTCTCTGATGACGAGGGCGGGGCTATAACCTGTCACTCACACCAGATCAGCCAATAGCAAACCACAACCATCCAATCAGTTCCCCACAGACACAGTCAAGCCCCGCCCACATGTGTTATAACGTCACACGTTATTATATACATGTAACATATATCATAATGAATAATTGGGGCCGTGAAGGTTCTGGTTCTGCTGGTTCTGTCTCTTTAAGAGTTTCATCAATCACATCACCAAGAGACTGCTTACAGTGTGTGTTTCTAATGATTGCAGATCACTGCTCATTAATATTAATTCATCTTGATTAAACCTTCCAGACTCAGCATTACACACACGTTTTATCCGCATTAACCGAGCGAGTTACACACACTCTCGTCAGTGATCCACGAGTGTAAAGCGCATCAGAAACTTCAGTGATCTCTAATAAATGTCAATTTTATAAGAAGCCAATAAAATCAGTTTGAGTTCCTGAGTCTGCAGAGCCAATCAGACGCTGCCAAACTCTGCCTCAGCATTAATCATATGATTGTTATGGAAAGATGAAATTGCATATTCACAAAGAATCTGTTTGCACATGAGTTTTGAACCAGCCTACTAATTAATTACAGTGATGCACTGCATTTATAGAAAACATTAATTATTTTCATAGAGAATATATGATGGTGAATATTAAAGATATGCCACTTTCACTGATCACAGTATTAATATCTGTGGATTATGTGAGGTTGTATTAAACTATAATATACAACACTGCCACGGGTCAGTCTCTCGCATCAGAACAATAGACTCAGTCCTGGGCAGTCCTCTACCTTCATCATCGTCATCTTCAACAGTATGTGTTTCTGTGAGAGATGATGTGATTTGTTGCCTGTCTATCGATACCTTTAATAATAAGGAGGATCAATAATTAAAGATATTTACATTAATCATAATAAAGTTTCTATGTATTTTGACACAAAAAGAAGCACAAAACTCTTTTCTTTTTTTGTAAACGCATGATGTATAAACGCTGTAAACATATAATTATAAATTCTATATTATAAATTATATTGTTCAGTTTTTACACACGTTTTCAAGATTTTGCCTCTTTTTTCGCAACTTTACACAAGAATTGCACACAGAATGTAAAATGCCTCGCATCTCTTGCTAAACGAAGCACTGCATTCAGAATATCACAAACATCTCAAAAGCAAACATTTATCTTACGTTGCAAACACTGTTGTCCTAATATTATATTTGTGTATATCTCATGTACACACAGTCGTTCAGAACTACAGCTGTGTGTACATGAGAACTACAGTGTCTGGAGAAGTTCTGCTGACTCTGAAGCCGGCGGGTAATAAACTATGGGCTGTTAAAGCCTCCTCAAGCCGGACTGATGCAGCGGCGAGGTGTGTGTGTGTGTGTGTGTGCAGGTGGGGCGTGTGCAGACTCAGAGGAGCGTCTGATGAACTGGCTGCTGGGTAAAGAGCGCTACAACAAGCTGATCCGGCCGGCGCTGAACCGCAGCGAGCGAGTGACGGTGGTCCTGCAGGTGTCCCTGGCGCAGCTCATCAGTGTGGTGAACTAAACACTCCTCTCGCAACTCATAGTATGCGCGTGTGTGTGTGTGTGTGTGTGTGAGGCGCAACATGGGATCTGTGTGTGTTTCAGGGGCATATCATTTATAATCAATCAATTAATTAATTGTGATAATAAATTAAATTTAAGTTTAAGTGTAAATTTTATTTTATTGCAAGTAACAGTTTTGGTTAACTATATTATTTCTTTGCCCTCAGAATGAAAGAGAGCAGATCATGACGACCAACGTCTGGCTCACTCAGGTCAGTGTCAGTCACATGTCAATCAAACTCAGGTCAGTGTCAGTCACATGTCAATCAGACTCAGGTCAGTGTCAGTCACATGTCAATCAAACTCAGGTCAGTGTGAGTCACATGTCAATCAGGTCAGTGTGAGTCACATGTCAATCAAACTCAGGTCAGTCACATGTCACTAAGGTCAGTGTCAGTCACATGTCAATCAAACTCAGGTCAGTGTGAGTCACATGTCACTCAGGTCAGTGTCAGTCACATGTCAATCAAACTCAGGTCAGTGTCAGTCACATGTCAATCAAACTCAGGTCAGTGTCAGTCACATGTCAATCAAACTCAGGTCAGTGTCAGTCACATGTCAATCAAACTCAGGTCAGTGTCAGTCACATGTCAATCAAACTCAGGTCAGTGTCAGTCACATGTCACTCAGGTCAGTGTCAGTCACATGTCAATCAAACTCAGGTCAGTGTCAGTCACATGTCAATCAGACTCAGGTCAGTGTCAGTCACATGTCAATCAAACTCAGGTCAGTGTGAGTCACATGTCAATCAGGTCAGTGTGAGTCACATGTCAATCAAACTCAGGTCAGTCACATGTCACTAAGGTCAGTGTCAGTCACATGTCAATCAAACTCAGGTCAGTGTGAGTCACATGTCACTCAGGTCAGTGTCAGTCACATGTCAATCAAACTCAGGTCAGTGTCAGTCACATGTCAATCAAACTCAGGTCAGTGTCAGTCACATGTCAATCAAACTCAGGTCAGTGTGAGTCACATGTCACTAAGGTCAGTGTCAGTCACATGTCAATCAAACTCAGGTCAGTGTCAGTCACATGTCAATCAGACTCAGGTCAGTGTGAGTCACATGTCAATCAGGTCAGTGTGAGTCACATGTCAATCAAACTCAGGTCAGTCACATGTCACTAAGGTCAGTGTCAGTCACATGTCAATCAAACTCAGGTCAGTGTCAGTCACATGTCAATCAGACTCAGGTCAGTGTCAGTCACATGTCAATCAAACTCAGGTCAGTGTGAGTCACATGTCAATCAGGTCAGTGTGAGTCACATGTCAATCAAACTCAGGTCAGTCACATGTCACTAAGGTCAGTGTCAGTCACATGTCAATCAAACTCAGGTCAGTGTGAGTCACATGTCACTCAGGTCAGTGTCAGTCACATGTCAATCAAACTCAGGTCAGTGTCAGTCACATGTCAATCAAACTCAGGTCAGTGTCAGTCACATGTCAATCAAACTCAGGTCAGTGTCAGTCACATGTCAATCAAACTCAGGTCAGTGTGAGTCACATGTCACTCAGGTCAGTGTCAGTCACATGTCAATCAAACTCAGGTCAGTGTCAGTCACATGTCAATCAAACTCAGGTCAGTGTCAGTCACATGTCAATCAAACTCAGGTCAGTGTGAGTCACATGTCACTAAGGTCAGTGTCAGTCACATGTCAATCAAACTCAGGTCAGTGTCAGTCACATGTCAATCAGACTCAGGTCAGTGTCAGTCACATGTCACTCAGGTCAGTGTCAGTCACATGTCAATCAAACTCAGGTCAGTGTCAGTCACATGTCAATCAGACTCAGGTCAGTGTCAGTCACATGTCACTCAGGTCAGTGTCAGTCACATGTCAATCAGACTCAGGTCAGTGTCAGTCACATGTCACTCAGGTCAGTGTCAGTCACATGTCAATCAGACTCAGGTCAGTGTCAGTCACATGTCACTCAGGTCAGTGTCAGTCACATGTCAATCAAACTCAGGTCAGTGTCAGTCACATGTCAATCAGACTCAGGTCAGTGTCAGTCACATGTCAATCAAACTCAGGTCAGTGTGAGTCACATGTCAATCAGGTCAGTGTGAGTCACATGTCAATCAAACTCAGGTCAGTCACATGTCACTAAGGTCAGTGTCAGTCACATGTCAATCAAACTCAGGTCAGTGTGAGTCACATGTCACTCAGGTCAGTGTCAGTCACATGTCAATCAAACTCAGGTCAGTGTCAGTCACATGTCAATCAAACTCAGGTCAGTGTCAGTCACATGTCACTCAAACTCAGGTCAGTGTCAGTCACATGTCAATCAAACTCAGGTCAGTGTCAGTCACATGTCAATCAAACTCAGGTCAGTGTCAGTCACATGTCAATCAAACTCAGGTCAGTGTCAGTCACATGTCACTCAAACTCAGGTCAGTGTCAGTCACATGTCACTCAAACTCAGGTCAGTGTCAGTCACATGTCACTCAAACTCAGGTCAGTGTCAGTCACATGTCACTCAAACTCAGGTCAGTGGTGAACTCGTGTCCTTCAGCTGGTCCTGGATCTGTCCTCTGTGTTCACTCACGTCCGCTCGCCAGACTCATAACCGGCTGTGTAATTATGGGCTGTCTGAGCAAGGGAAAGCTCATATATGAAATAAGACTGATTATCCCTGTAATCTGCAGAACTGGAATGATTATCGTCTGTCGTGGGACCCGGCTGAGTACGAGGGAATCGACAAGCTCCGGATCCCGTCCAGACACATCTGGCTCCCGGATATAGTGCTGTACAACAAGTGAGTGAAGACCTGGAGCTTACCGATTAGATCCTGACTGTCACTTTAGATCCGTTTATTGCGTCCTCGCTGAATAAAAGTATTATTATTATTAATAATAATAAAATCTCCACACTTTTCAATGGTAGTGTACGATACTGTCCACAAAAATCTGATCGATAATAATCATAGTCTTGAGCATCAGATCCTCATATTAGAGTGATTTCTGAAGGATCATGTGACACTGAAGAGTAATGATGTAATGATGATAAATTCAGCTTTGATCACACTTTACTATATATTCACATAGAAAACAGATTTACACTGGAATAATATTTCACTGTTTTACTGTATTTTTATATCAAATAAATGCAGCCTTGTTGAGCAGAAGAGACTCTTTTCACAAACACTCTTGATTATTCAAACGTTCGAGTCTATATGTATTTTAATATACTAGCGGCTGTAGCTTAAAATGGCCATTCACCAAATCATGAGACATTTATGCATATATAGAACATTTTTGACATAAAATGTTCTTTAAAACTGAGTCAAGAGTTCTAATGAGTCTAAGAGTGTATATAATGCTCTAGAAAATTAAACATGATTATTTATCAAATGAATTATTGCTTGTTTTATTTCATGTTCACTGTCATGTATTAAAGGTACAATATGTAAGTTTTCGCCACTAGATATCACCCCCCCCCCCCCCAAAAAAAAAAGAAATTTGATCAAATAAATGCAGAAGAGACTCACTTCTTGATTATTCCAAAATGTTTGACCGCAAGAGTATCTATATTTTAATATATGAAATAATAAATTATTTTATATATAAATAACACTTTTTTCTTAAATGTATACATGCTTATGTATGTGTATTTCTATATACAAAATTATTATACACAGTACACACACATAAGTCATGTAAACACAAACTTTTATTTTGGATGCGATTAATCGCGATTACTTGCACTAATTTGAATATATGCAGTGTAAGTCAAATGCTTGTTGCAGTTGTAACACATCTGGTGTGTTGTGTGTGTGCGTGTGTGTGTTCCCCAGTGCTGACGGCACGTACGAGGTGACGGTCTTCACCAACGCAATCGTCCTGTTTAACGGCAGCATCGCATGGCTTCCCCCCGCCATATACAAGAGCGCCTGTAAGATCGAGGTCAAGCACTTCCCCTTCGACCAGCAGAACTGCACTCTGAAGTTCCGGTCCTGGACGTACGATCACACCGAGATCGACCTGGTCCTGAAGACCGCGGTGGCCAGTATGGACGACTTCACTCCCAGTGGAGAGTGGGATATTCTGGCTCTGCCGGGCCGGAGGACGGTCAGCGATCTGGACCCGACCTACGTGGACCTGACCTACGACTTCATCATCCGGCGCAAGCCTCTGTTCTACACCATCAACCTGATCATCCCGTGCGTGCTCATCACGTCGCTGGCCATCCTGGTGTTCTACCTGCCGTCGGACTGCGGAGAGAAGATGACGCTGTGCATCTCCGTCCTGCTGGCGCTCACCGTATTCCTCCTGCTGATCTCCAAGATCGTGCCGCCCACTTCTCTGGACGTCCCTCTGATCGGGAAGTACCTGATGTTCACGATGGTGCTGGTCACGTTCTCCATCATCACGAGTGTGTGTGTGTTGAACGTGCACCATCGTTCCCCGAGCACACACAGCATGCCGGCGTGGGTCAAGCTGGTGTTCCTGGTCCGGCTCCCAGCGCTGCTCTTCATGCAGAGACCCCGAGGGACCGCCACCCGTGGGAGCCGGCGTCTGCCCGACCACATCCCGGTACAAACTCAAATTCAGTACTCACTCAGTATACTTCGAGATACGCCGCCTATCACTGTGTTCATATATGAGCGATTACCCTCCTCCCTCCCCAGCTCCACCTCCATACGTGCAGACTAATCCGGTTTACTTCAAGTGTGTTAAAGGAGAACTCCGGCGAACAATGAACCTTTGGTCTAATAAAACATCGGTACATAGTCAACCGTTCTCTGAGATTTGTTTTCATGATAATCAAATGTAAAGAGTTTTATCTCTAAAAACTGTTTAGCGTATAATGCTAGTAATGGGGGCATTGACTAAGTAAAAAGAAATCGCTAGTTTATACCACTAACAAGGCTCAAAATAGCCCCACACTAACACAGAAACATAATGAGGGTCCATACATTCAAAACGAAGCATTGAGAACTTTGTAAGTGTACAGACCGTTTAATAAGAAGATCCTTTATGAAGACAGTTCACTTCGTGTATACAGACAGGAGCCATCTTAAAAAATAGTCTCGATAAGTCGATCCCCGAACGCCGCTCATAGAGTTCAGAAGTTCGTTGAACTTCATACAGTTCAGATCACTCAGCACGACGTTCGTGGTTCGACTTATCGAGACTATTTTTTAAGATGGCTCCTGTCTGTATACACGAAGTGAACTGTCTTCATAAAGTATCTTCTTATTAAACGGTCTGTACACTTACAAAGTTCTCAATGCTTCGTTTTGCATGTATGGAGCCTCATTATGTTTCTGTGTTAGTGTGGGGCTATTTTGAGTCTTGTTAGTGGTATAAACTAGCGATTTCTTTTTACTTAGTCAATGCCCCCATTACTAGCATTATATGCTCAACAGTTTTTAGAGATAAAACTCTTTACATTCGATTATCATGAAAACAAATCTCAGAGAACGGTTGAATATGTACCAATGTTTTATTAGACCAAAGGTTCATTGTTCGCCGGAGTTCTCCTTTAAAGATTGGTATTAAACAGTACACCCATTTGCGTCCAGATGTATTATTGAAAAGGGGAATTATTTCAAATACAGTAAAGTCTCCTTTTGCTCCTCTAGGGCAGGACTCTGTTGGGTCTCGGATACGCAGCTCCTGGTAAATCCGGCATGTCCTCGTCTGCGTCTGCGCTGCTGGCTTCGACTCTCTCGTCACCGGGACACTTTTACAACAAGGGCCCTCAAACACACTACAGAGGAGACCCGCGGGCCTGGGGACAACAGAACTGCTCACAGGACCTGAGGGGGAACAGGCCGGACTGGGGATCTGAGCTTCAGGAGGCTGTCGATGGCGTTCGTTACGTGGCCGATCACATGATGGGAAATGATGATGATCAAAGCGTGAGTGACTTTCTCTCCCCAGATACATTATTGTTTAAAGAAAGTCTCTTCTGCTCACCAAGGCTGCATTTATTTGATCAAAAATACTTAAAAAAAGTTTAAATATTATTATAATGTAAAACAGCTGTTTTCCATGTGCATATACAGTAAATTATGTCGAATTTATAGTAAATAGTAAATATATAGTCCAGTCTGCAGTGTCTAATATGATGATTTGATGCTCAAGAAACAATCACACAATTGTGAGTTTACAGAATTGCGTGATATAAAATCACATTTGCTAGTTATAAAGTCATAATTGCATGATATAAAGTCACATTTGCTAGTTATAAAGTCGAGATTGTGTGATATAAAGTAATATTTGCTAGTTATAAAGTCAGAATTGTGTGATATAAAGTCACATTTGCTAGTTATAAAGTCAGAATTGCATGATATAAAGTCACATTTGCTAGTTATAAAGTCAGAATTGCGTGATATAAAGTCACATTTGCTAGTTATAAAGTCGAGATTGTGTGATATAAAGTCACATTTGCTAGTTATAAAGTCAGAATTGCGTGATATAAAGTCACATTTGCGAGTTATAAAGTCAGAATTGCGTGATATAAAGTTGCAATTGTTTTAAAGTCAGAATTGCATGATATAAAGTCGCAACACACAATGTATGTTACTTTTGCTGTAACGCTGTGCAACATATCGCTCGTCTTCACATTTATGACTTCATTGTCTTCCATCGGTTTAAAACATCAGAATCTTGTTTAACTATAAAGATCACTTGAATCAGATGCAACTCCACAGACTTCTTAAATAAATCTGATAAAACACATGAATCGCATTAATTAACAGCATGTTTGTGTGTTGAATCTCACAGTAAAAGCTGAATGTCATTTAAATTTGACATTTCAAAGAACATCTTTTATGTGGAAACACAATTAGCAAACAGAGGTTACATTCGAGCACATCGATCGTGTCCTTGAAGAAATGCTGGAGGAGGGAGAAAGTGTGTGTGTGTGTGTGTGAGAGATGCTTGTTTTTGCTCAGCACTTGTTGACACACACATTCTCAATCTCCTTGTTCTGTTTCCTCGTCCCTCATTAGTGGTCATTAACTGTATTAACGAGGTTTCCTCTGTCCAGGTCATCGAGGACTGGAAGTATGTGGCCATGGTGGTGGACCGCTTGTTCCTGTGGATCTTCGTGATCGTGTGTGTGGTGGGAACTCTGGGTCTGTTCCTCCAGCCGCTCTTCCAGAACCAGGGCGTCCCCCACCAGGAGAACCCCAAACGGGACGGCGTGTGAGGAACGCTCTCTGTGACCGGGGCGTTATTCTGCGAGGAACTGATTTCCACTGTAGTAATCAGTAGATCAGGAGCCGTCGGACCCAGAGGACGCTCGGATACTAGTGGAACTGCAGAAATGATGATTGTTTTCTTACAGGTTTCACTCCCCTTGTCTGCCATTGGTCAGATAAAGCAGTTAACCCCACCCACCTCCTCACGCTATTGGTTGAGCCGTTGTTAGTCACTTTTTTTTTCATTTTTCAAGGAAATAAACCTACAAATGACCCATTTAGTCCATGCATACTAAGCTGGGATAATATTACTTTAATGTGAAAATAAATTACACACTTTTAATTATCCTAAATGTGTTTACACTGAAAAAAAATGTGTGTTTGTTTTTACTTTGAACTTGCTTATTCATTTCACAAATAATTACAAAGAAATGGTTGCAAGTAAGATGTTGAATTAAATTGACTTTTTTAAAGTAGACTGACATCTTATTTTCCAATAGTCTTAATAGTCTTTAATTTACAATTTTGAAAAATCATTTTACAGTGTTTACAACTTGTATCTTCTGTTCCATTAGAGCTGCGTTAGGCTTGAAATTAATTGTAGAAGTAACAAAACACCAGAATCTCATCAATAACACCATGTATTCACTGGGTTTGTGAGACAAGAGGTGTGGTATTAAATAACCACACACACACACACACACTCTCTCTCTTTCTAGGATGTCTTTTTGTTTTCCGAGGTGAGACAATGTTTTGTTTTCTACAAAGTTTTCATTTAATACCACATTTTGTCCTATGGACCGAGTTATTCTTTATGTATTGTGATGTGAAGGATGTGCACTGATTTTTGTTGTGTCCATAATGCATGCTGTTATTGATAAGACTTGTGTGTTTTGTCAGATTTATTTGTGGAAGGTAAATTGTCCAATCCGTTATAAACTTTAAAGAAACCTGTGGATAACATTCACAGAAAGAGTCGCATCTGATAAGTGTTCTTTAGAGAAAAGCAAGATTGTCCATGTCCATTGTGGGAAAGTCTTATTTAAATAAAACTAAAATCGTATATATGTGTGTGTGTGCTTTAGTTGTAACGGAAGGATGGTGTACTCATCTTCAGTATTCGAGAGCTGTCCTGAGGGGACCAGTCCTGCATCATTAGCGTGTATAGCGCCACCTGTTGGCCAAGGCAGATCTCTCCTTCACACAGTGTGTTTGAGTGTCATCTAATGCACCAGAACACCACATCTCCTTATCCACAGGCAGATCACCACAGATTTGGCTGTAAATGTTGGAGATTGTTATATTTCCCGCGGATCTGAAACACAAGGATGGAGAACATTAGGACAAATGAGTTTATCTCATAATACTGAGACAGAGAGCAAATGCTTAGAAAAATAGCCAGGTAACGTTAATAAAGTTAAAAGAGACAGCCAGAGGTTAGTTTTAGCCTATATGTGTTAAACTACACTGCTTTGTTTGCAGGATCATCTTCTGGTGGATTAGCGCCATTTTAATTTCCAAGTTTTTTGACAATATAGACTTTGCTCTGAGGTAAAAAATAAAAATAAAACAATAAAAACAATTAAAAACCGTTCTCGAACAATATTAAATGTGCTCTTCATGGTAAAACTGTACACAATCCTCCTTTAGTCTACTTTCTGATCATAGTCTGATGCGTTGCGTTTTTAAGGTGGTATATCAACTTGTGTAGCCTAGTTTTAAAAACGCGCATCGTCGTTTCGACGAATATAATCGCTACTGGTGCATATAATCAAGTATCTTTACCTTTCTGATCAAACCTGACATTAAACCCATAGAAAGAGCTCGTGTCCATCCTGGAGTGAGTGACTGCTCGCTCTCGCTCTCTCTGCGCGCTCACGCTGCGCGCTCCTGACTGTTAACAGCATATTCTCCGGACTGTACGATGAAAGCCAGAGAGATCGTAATTTTCCACACTTGCTCTTTTCTGTTTTCTCTTCTGTCAGGTGAGTAAAACACAACTAATGTTCTCGGATACTTGTTGCTGTTTATTGGAATATAGTGTGTGTGTGCTGTCTGTGAGTGACTCAATGTTAGTTTGCAAATAAGACAGATAATGACAGGCTGACCCGATTAACGAGTCGGTTTATTTATTGAGCGTAATGCCCAAAGTGTGTGTGTTTCGTGTAGTTTGGATTTATAACTATTCATCCCCGAATTACTAGTTAAAAAGAGTTTTTCGAAATACTCGTTTCCTTTTTTGTGGCAACATTCCCTAATGCTTTCACACTGTGTGTGGGGTAAAATATCACAATTAAACATTTTTTTTTTCTTTTAGGCACAATAAAAATTCTAAAACTGCAAGTTTTTTTTTTTTAAATTTCTTTACATTTGTAAAATTAAAAAATATATATATTTATGCATGCATTTACGCCTGACAACATATCAAATCTGAAGTTTTAACATTTGATTACTTGTAATCAGGATTATAATATTCGAGATAAAGGTTTAAATACGCTTTCTACAATGTTTTCAACTGTGTTATTACACAATATCAAGCGCTTTGCTGCGTTCCTCGTGTGTAAGTCTGATCTACATGAATGTAAGTTGATGAGTGTGTGTTCAGATCCTCAGATCCTGCAGGTAATGTAATGTAGTGGTGTGTGTGTGTGTGAGCAGATGCGGGGGTTTCCGGCTCTGATGCTGAGCACAGGCTGTTCTCCATCATCTTCTCCAGTTATAACCAGTACATCAGACCCGTGGAGAACGTGTCCGACCCGGTCGTGGTCCAGTTTGAGGTGTCCATGTCACAGCTAGTGAAAGTGGTGAGTGTTTGCCTCCTCCTCCTCCTCCTCCTCGTCTGCAGTGAAGAGCTTCCATCAGTCGTGATGAGTTCAAAGAGCAAGGGCTTTTCACTCCAGAAGCCTTGACCTCTGACCTCAGGCATGCATGAATCAGTCAGTCAGTGTGAGCGAGCTCGTGATTTAGCTAAATCTCCTCATCTAACCCAGTGTGACCCATACACCTCACTGCTTTCAGTACAGTTTCCATCCAGCCTTTTCTCCTTTGTTGTTTCATGGTTTAATTCATTTTGATTTCTGGTTTCTGTGATGTAGAATGGAGTGAGAGCCATTTTCACTACTTCTGTGAATGCAGTCATGTCTGCTCGATATGCTTTAAAGTTTTTAGGGAGTTAATTTCATGCATTTTGGGTTTGAAGGACAAACAACTATAAAAAAGTGTAATATCGCAGCAACATTACTGACCCTAAAACGAAGTGTATCATGCACACGTTGACCGTTTTAATAGGTAATAAATTAAGTTTCAACAAATCAAAATCTGTGTTTCAATCGAATTTAACTTGTTCACAATATTAGAATATGGCATAACCACCAAACCAACATTTGAGATGCAGCGATGCGATTGGTCCGCTGGTTTAGTCCAGTTGTCCAATCACAGCCTCTGCTGGGTTTCTGCTTGCACATCAAGTCTCTCTCTGAGACTCTGCTCCTCTCTCCACAGGACGAGGTGAACCAGATTATGGAGACCAATCTCTGGCTGCGACATGTAAGCTCATGCATTATTCATGCACGTCCACCTGATTCATTTCGATCACTCAACACACTTGTATTCGCTATATCTTTGCGGTCACTGTTTTAAATTGATCGGTACAGGAGTAAAGATGTGAGCTTCACCTGTAAAACTGATTTACCAGTTAAATATGAATCATGAACAGACCTTTTATTACATAATAATAGGTAAAACCTTTGTGAATGGTGCTCAAAAGTATGTCCACTTTATTGATAATTCAGATTCAGATTGATAATGCATTTCAGATCAGCAATACAATGTTTTTCGATTTACAAACCATGTATTAAAAGTAAAAACCGGAGATCTGTTTTTAAAAGTCCAAATGATGTTAATTGAATAAATAGGAAAAAGAGGCTGCTGTCACTTTAAGAAGTGAGCGGTGATGTTGACTAAGAAAGCTGGAGAAAACTATGATTATGATCACCTAATAATGATTAACCTAAAGTTCTAGCTTATTTGCGGACGATAACTGTGTTCTGTGGCTTGGTTTAAAACTGAAATTTAATACATTTACACTGAATATGTTTAAAGAAAATATTTTTTTATTTTAGTATGATGTTGAGATATCAAAAAATTGTTGTTGCAATGAATGTCATCAAACAAATGTTTTCAATTATATCACAATCCATTATTACATTTTACATTTGCACACATATTAGTCCAAATTCATTATTACCACTTTATACGTTTCTTTATAATAATTCAGATTAATAACTGACAGCGCAGATGAAGAAGTAAACGAGGATGAGAGGATTGTGATCTGTCATGTTGTTTCCCTGATGTCCAATTGTCTATTGTTTTTAATTAAATGAAGTTTAAAGTTAAACATGAAGATTGCCGGAAATAAAGAAAGTGCATCTCATCATTTGTTTATAGAGGACTATCGAATGAAGCATCGTGATCTTCTGGAGATAATCGTGCAGCTCATTAACGTTTCAGGATAATCTCATTTAATACATAATTCATTCTCCTGGGTGGCAAGTCTTACAAAATATTTTAGCGACTGACCTAGACAATAGAAATAAAACGGTGCATCTATTAACAGTGTCAGACATATTAAAAATGACAAGCGGGATGGGTCTACCCTTTCTTTGTCTTTTATTACTGTGTGTCCTTTCTGCAGACACAGGCTTTGCTGTTGCTCTGAGACGATCTGGAGAATAACAAACGAGAGGATGGCTTATAGCCATGTCTTTCAAACACACTTAATATCTTAATGTCTAACGATCGTGCCAGAATCCAGCAGGCCTTCACAAACTGAGCTCAACTATATTACTCAGCATATATTGAGGGAGGGATTTAAAATGCATGCTTTAAAATATAAAATGTACTTAAAAATAACTTGTTCAGGAAGCAAGTAACAAGTTGAAATAGCGTAAAATTGCTATTTAAAAACCTATATACATCTATATTGATTTATTTAGTCAGTGAGTTTGCTGTGACCGTGGAATACTAAATGTAAGTCAGCATTATACACTAGCCTGATGCAAATATAATGTTCCTCTAATGTTTTCTAAATGTTTACACTTGAAAACACTTCAAAAAACGAAAGCATGAAAAAGTTATGGAAGTTTAAATTTACTATAAATCAAATATACTGTCCAATATATTTTTTATTTTATATAAAATATATATTTAACAATTTTTTTTACTCTAAAATTACTATAATGAAGTTTTGATCATAAATGATGCAATATAATGATGCCCAAAAGGGGAGGAGCCAGATAAAATAAGTACCGTTTCTATGGTAACGCAATGTTCAATTATAAAACGGTTTTCACAGGATCAATTCTGAGTTTATAAGCTTTCAAATGATACCTAATTAATGATAACTACTAAAATATGGGATATAATAAAAAGGCGATTAAAAAAAGATAATATTATATTTTAGAGGATAATATATATATATATATATATAATTTTTAGAGGATAATATTATACTATATTTTTAATAAAAAAAGAATAAAAAAAGATCCAATTAAAATGATTCAGGGAAAAAAAACCTTCCATGAATGATGTATAAATAATGTTTATTTTCTAACGTTTAAGAACGTTATTAAAGACCGGATAACTGTTGCATTAACAACGTAACTAAAAAAACATTCCCTGATATTGTGTGCGTAACGCCTCTGGATCTCCGTAGATCTGGAATGATTATAAGCTGAGGTGGAATCCCAAGGACTTCGGAGGGGTCGAGTTCATCCGTGTTCCCTCCAAGAAGATCTGGAAGCCGGACATTGTGTTGTACAACAAGTAAGTGTGCCGGATCCAATCCGCTCCTCGTTTCGTGATTACGGGTGTCAGTCCTTCATCAAGACCCTCGTGTCCCGAATCGAGCCCGTTCTCATCCCAAGGCGTCATATACTGAAACTTTTGACATTTCATCTACATTCAACGTACATGGCACCCTTCAGCGTCAAGATGAGACGCAGATATATATGGGCCAGAAGGCGCCTCCTAGTGGTCTAACACTAACACTACTCCAGACCTAAACCTACCATAACCGAACAAAGCTCTGTGTGTGTTATATTGACGCTAAAGTGTGCCATGTGCGTTGGATTTAGACGAAATTTCAAAAGTATCACTATATGACACCCTAAGATGTTTATAATTCCGCCGTATCGTGCCGGCCCTCGTCCTCACGATCTGCCTCTTTTCCTGAAACCGCAGTGCTGTGGGAGATTTCCAGGTGGACGATAAAACGAAAGCTCTTCTGCGCTACAACGGAGACGTGACCTGGATCCCGCCGGCCATCTTCAAGAGCTCCTGCAAGATCGACGTCACGTACTTCCCGTTCGACTACCAGAACTGCACCATGAAGTTCGGCTCGTGGACCTACGACAAGGCCAAGATCGACCTGGTGCTCATCGGCTCCACCATCAACCTCAACGAGTTCTGGGAGAGCGGCGAGTGGACGATCATCGACGCGCCCGGGTACAAACACGACATCAAGTACAACTGCTGCGAGGAGATCTACACGGACATCACGTACTCGCTCTACATCCGCCGGCTGCCTCTGTTCTACACCATCAACATGATCATCCCCTGTTTGCTGATCTCCTTCCTCACGGTCCTGGTGTTCTACCTGCCCTCGGACTGCGGCGAGAAGATCACGCTGTGCATCTCCGTCCTCCTCTCGCTCACGGTGTTTCTGCTGGTGATCACCGAAACCATCCCGTCCACGTCTCTCGTCATCCCTCTGATCGGGGAGTACCTCCTGTTCACCATGATCTTCGTCACGCTCTCCATCGTGATCACGGTGTTCGTGCTGAACGTGCACTACCGCACGCCGAAGACGCACACCATGCCGGGTTGGGTGAGGCGGGTCTTCCTCGGCTTGCTCCCGCGGGTCATGTTCATGACGAGGCCTGGGACCGACCCGGAGCGACCCGGGAGACCGTGTGCTCTTCACGCTCCAGCTTCCCCTGGTGAGAAACATGTATGCTAAGTGTACTTGCGGCCTTATTTAAAATATAATAAAGCAGTGTTACTCATCGCCAACCTTTAATATGTGGCTTGCGTGGCGGTGAATATTACAGTGATATGATCGTGCTGTCAATATATAGAAATTAACATGTAGGGTTATATATTAATGATGAATATATTCTAGAAATCAGTTTTTTTAGTCATCTTGTCTCAGTTACAAATTTGACCGGTGAATCATAAATAATGACTTTTTCTTGCATTGCATATTGTATGTTCAGGGACGACAGATTGATGATTGGACATGGTGTTTATGTCTGGATGTAACGTTTGATACTCTGACGCAGTGAAGTGTGTTCTGTGCCCAGGCCCCATCGCTCCTGGCCCGCTCCTGTGCTCGACCGAGCTCCACAGCCTGGCCGCCGCCGGGCTCCTGCGGGGAGAGTGCCCTGGCCCCTGTTGCTGGAACCCTCACGGCATCAGCGGCGCGGGAGACGACGGAGGAGCGAGTCCCAGCTCCAGCTCCCAGTCCTCGGATGGGCTTCTGTGCGCGGCCACTCTCTCGCCGCGGGTCCGAGAGGCCATCGAGAGCGTCAAGTACATCGCAGAGACCATGAGGCTTAAGAACGAGGCCGAGGAGGTGAGAGAGCCGAGCGAGGCGTCATTATACACTCACCTAAAGGATTATTAGGAACACCAGACTAATACTGTGTTTGACCCCCTTTCACCTTAATTCTCCGTGGCATTGATTCAACAAGGTGCAGAAAGCATTTTTTAGAAATGTTGGCCCATATTGATAGGATAGCATCTCGCAGTTGATGGAGATTTGTGGGATGAAGCTCCCGTTCCACCACATCCCAAAGATGCTCTATTGGGTTGAGATCTGGTGACTGTGGCGCCCATTTTACTACAGTCAACTCATTGTCATGTTCAAGAAACCAATTTGAAATGATTCCAGCTTTAAGACCCGCTTTATTAGGAATTATACAATATTTACAGTCAACAATTGAAGTGGATCAACAAAAGTGCATCAAAGTTGTCCTCAGACAAGAACGGGTATTGTTCAAAATTCATGTATAACTTTGATGAAACGTTTTGATCCACTTCAAATGTTGACTACTGTATTTATATATGGGCCTATTATAATACATTTGCTTTCGCAAAAAAATGATATTTGCAAGTAAGATGATATTTAATGCTTAGTTTTATGATCAAAGCTCTGTAGTTTTAAATCATACAATGATTGAGAGATGAACTAATTCCTCAAAAGCGATGATCATATTTGAAATACTCATGATTTTTATTAGAAATGATGATGGATAATCAAGTAAACCTCAGTTGCTTCTGTCCATTTGAAATATTACTAACAATATCAAAGTGATGTTTACCTTCACAGTGCAGGTTTGAGCGCAGAAAGACACGTTAAGCTGAAGCAGGACGCATGCAATTAATACAAGTGTAAAGACTCCATCAGACGAGCTTTGCTGATGTCTTGCTCTCCGGCTCTCGTCTCCGCAGGTCCAGCACGACTGGAAGTACGTTGCCATGGTGATCGACCGGATCTTCCTGTGGGTGTTTGTGCTGGTGTGTATTCTGGGGACGGCCGGGCTCTTTCTCCAGCCGCTGCTGTTGGCCGAGGACATGTGAAGCACACTTTCGATCTCAACATTTTGATAGTCAGAATCAAGTTTTAGCAACCCTAACAATGCATTTTTTTACATATTTCTATCATGCGTCGTTTAGAGCTGAATGCCAAGACAGTCGCTGGACCTCGAAGGGTTAAATGGATCATCATCGGACTTTAGGAAGGTTTCTCTGCACCCGTTACCTTAAACGCGGTTAAAAGTCTTACCCAAAAGTGGACATTTATTTGCTCTCGAGTTGTGCATAACAGACACATGTTCATTATTGTTCATAACACACGGCGTCATATTTTCTTTTCTGGTTCCAGAAATGTAGTATTTTGAAGAATTCTCACACAGGTCTTTTCCATAGTTCATATTAGCTCCAGAATACACAATCTTATTTCCAATATATAGACTTTTTATCTGACAATTCTGACTCATTTTTTTCTCTGATTGCTTTCTCAGAATTGTGTTTTGTTTTTGAAGTCAGAATTGCCAGATAAAAAGTAGTATTTTATTATTGTGGTAATAGGTTTCCATACCAAAATGGCTAAAAGGTAGTCTGTGCAACTCTGCTTTTGTCTTCCAGGGAAAAATAACATCACACAGCATTTTTTATTTATGTATTACATTATAATAATTTGTTACATTATATAAAAAATATCTAATAAAAAAACCTGTTAGACTTTTTTTTTACAGACTTATAAAAAATCCAGTCTCTTTATGTTCACATTTGCTTCCAGCGCCACCTGGTGGTGACTTTGAGCAAGTCCAGGGAACCAGTCAGTAATGGGTTTCTAAAACTATCAATGCAATCCGATGTTGTTTTCCTGACATGTAATAATTGTCTGTTCGCTGTACATGTCAATATATTCTTAATGTAAAACTTTGATGCACATTTCCAACCTTTCAAGCAACCCTGCAAATAAAGGAAACACTGAGAACTGTGAACATCTTCTGTCAAGGAAGAAATGATTAATCTTTGTTCTCGTGAGAGTTATGCGTTTCACACTCACGTCTGCCTTCGGCTGTATTCACATCGATCACATCTATCTAACGCACTGTAAATTAGTGTCATACACCTGTCTCTGAGAGTTCACGGATTTCATCACACAATAAATCAGATCTTCCTCAAGTGGCATTAAGGCGGAATCGCTCACACTGACATCCAGACAATATAAAGAACATATTCACAAATTTATAGCAACCTATTAATAATAGGATTAAATGACATCATGTGTACATTCAAGGGTTTCTCAGTTTACAGGTTTGTTATCATCTGCTTACACACATTTAAAAAATGTTGCCTCTTTTTTCTCAAAACTGTACACACAAATCCAACAATTGCACACAGAATGGAAAATGCCTCACAAGCAAATATTTGTCTTGCGTTGCAAGCATTTGTGGTTGTGAATACAGAATTACACAGTCCAAAAATCCTATAACTCAACCTTTGACCTTTTATAGGCCCATTCTAAAGCACTGATTGGTGTGTGTGTGTGAGGCTTTTTAAACAGGAAATCAAGAAACTTCCTGTTAGATTGTTGTGTTTCATAGAGACGTGTGTGTTGTGGTTTGCAAACAGACTTTGATGAAATTGAAAACCGAGTCGAAGGCGGAGGATTATTGTGTGGTTTTGCAGATGTGGTGTGTGTTTTTGAGTGTCAGATTTCAGAAATCGTGTGACAAGTAAGGATTTTGTGTGTGTAAGCAAAAAGGGTTATGATCACCTTCAGGCCTTCTCAACACACGCAAATATTCTGCAAGATGAAGATGAATTAATATCAGATGTGAACATTTGCACACCGACAAAACAAGTTTCTCTCTCCCTTCAGTTGCTCATTTTAGTGTACTTATACTGGCATGTTGACAAGATTTGACCAATAACCGACATGATGCGTGTGACGTAAACGGCATTAGTTCCTCTCGGACACATCAGATGTACTTTGAATTAGGCATTAAAGTACAACACCTTATGCAATAATCTTGAATCTGTTCTCTGAACTGAAGGGCCACAAATACAACAACTGCTGTGTGTAACCGTTCCAGATGTTAAGCAAATGTGCAAATTCATTCATTGAAACTAAACCGTCATAAACCGTGATATGGAGGAACTATAATGGCCTGGACATTTTGTTCAAACACAAATTTAGTTAATTCTGTAATTCATATTTAGCCAAATGTATTGCTTGATTCTTACTAAGAAACATTCTTTGGTTGAACTGTGCAGTAATGCCACAAAACACATACTCGTTTACAGGGTCCTTTAGTCAAGGAGTTTTATTGGAAATCCTTATTTCTGAAAGAACAGGATCCTGGAGTTCATGCGATTCACTTTATGAACTTATGAGAATTCTGCTGACTTGACAAAGCATTTGATAATCAAACTCGCAGCTCTGCCCTCCGGCTGGAACCGGTCCGGGTAACGTTACACAACACGCTATAGATTACACAACACTCCTTCATGAGATCATATAACTTTATTAATGAGCTGAACTAATCAATAGTTAACAACGAGGGGACGCAACCTTCAAAAGATTTTACTACACTATTGTTCAGTGAAAAGTAGTAAATGCACGCTGTCGTAGATCAACATTAGAGGACTGCAACTTCAAGCAAAAACAAACATGGATTTTGGCTTGATGACTATTCTTAACCCTCTGATGGTCTTCCTTTATGAATCACGTCCTGAGCCTTCCCGGTCAGAAGTGACCGGAGGCCTAAAAATGAAACTTCTTCCATCCCAGTAAAACCAATGCAATTTATTTTTGTTCTATAATATTTATTCTTTTTAATTTAGTATTTTGAGATAATTTGATTGAATTTATTAATATTTATGCAATATTTATGGTCTATTTTTTCAATGGAAATATATATATATATATTTCTATATATATATATTTTTTTATTATTAATGCAGTATTTTTGTTTAATATAGAGTCCTATAGGCCTTCAAAAAAAAAATGAAGAAAATTAGCACCATCTGGTTAGACAAAAAGCGTAGGTATTATTAAGATATTATTCAAATTAATATTAGAAACAAGTTAGGTCAAAAGTAATCTAAAAGTAGTCTATATTCAGGGATGTGAATAAGTTTGGACACCCATGCTAAAGTTGCCTAAAAAAAGGAATAAATAATCATCTTTTGGAAATTGATCTTTATGCCATGGCCCATGGGTTTATTTCAGTTAGCCTAATAGCTGGTGTGAACCGCCTTGAAAGTCCATGCCGACTCTAGGTGTGGTGAAGTGTGTGTGATGATGTGGGGATTTAATCCCAAAGGCTGAGGGAACTTTATCAGTGATCCATGAAATAAGTGGCCTTTAAAAACATAAATCTGTCCCTCTATGGGAGTTTGACACAGGGGTGACCTGACTTATGACCCCGTATTTTAAGGAAGAACATTTATTTATTCATGATACATTATTCATTCACAAAGAACATTGGTGTCCTTAAAGGTTGGATTTTCCTCATTTTTTTTTTTAAATTAAGGCATTAAGATAAATTTCCAAAAGAGGATTTTTTATTTCTTTTAGGCAACTTTGCCATGGGTGTCCAAACTTATTCACATCACTGTAGTTAAATTACCTAAAATATGTAATGTAGATTTTTATCATGTAATGGACTACAATTTGTAAGTAATCTACCAAGAACTGCTTGCAGGCGAATTATAATTTCATGCAGAGATCTTTGAACGCTGGTGCACAATATGGCTTTGGGCAAAACTGTTGCAAAAACTCAAATAATCCTGTCCATCATAGCTTGCAATTTTGCTTCTAGTTTGCAAAGATGAACTGAACCCATTATTTCTATTTTGAAATGGCTTGTGGCTAAAAGCGCCTAAAGACTGAACCACACCCACACAGAGAGATATAAACCCAAGACCACCTGCAACACTCACCCCGAGTCGAGAACATCCACTAGTGCCTCAGCTCATCACCCCGAGTCGAGAACATCCACCAGTGCATCACCTCATCACCCCGAGTCGAGAACATCCACCAGTGCCTCAGCTCATCACCCCGAGTCGAGAACATCCACCAGTGCCTCAGCTCATCACTCCGAGTCGAGAACATCCACTAGTGCCTCAGCTCATCACTCCGAGTCGAGAACATCCACCAGTGCCTCAGCTCATCACTCTGAGTCGAGAACATCCACTAGTGCCTCAGCTCATCACCCCGAGCGGCCGACAACATGAGCTTTAAGTTTCAGTCCGAGTTCAAGTCAAGCTTCCAGACGATCTCCGGCTTTGTGAGTGACCCCTCAGCCTTTCATGCACTCCTGACTTACGTTAGCCTTTCCACATGTTTTTTTTTTCTTTTGTGCATTTTCAGAGTATATTTGAGTCAGTTGCACATTGTGAATTTTACCATAACATACATCAATTTTACTATGCAGAGCATCCCGTACGAGAGTCCCATCCCTGGAGGACTGAAAGCTGGCAAAGCCATCTTCATTAAGGGAACCGTTCCCTCTGGATCTAAAAGGTGAAACTTTCTTTTCAAGACTAGAGAAAAGAAATGCAATTTTGTTTGAGTAACTAGCTCACTCCACATTGTCCTAATCATTGCAGCTTCGAGGTGAATCTGAAGTGTGGAAAGTCCAAAGGAGATGACATTGCCTTTCAAATCAGACCGCAGTTTAGTAGCAACTGCATGGTCCTCAACAGCCAGCAAAATGGATCTTGGGGAAAAGAGGAGAAACTGGAACTACCATTAAAGCAGGGGAGCAGCTTTGATCTGGTCATTGCCGTAAATTCTGAAAATTATCAGGTGTGTTGTGATGTTTTGATCTATTCAATGAGTACATCGTGCAAAGGCTAAAAGAAATAAGATAAGAAATCTGAACATAGTAATGTTCAATCTGAAGGTGTCTTTGAGTGGGCGTGAAGTTGGCCGATTTCAGCATCGTATATCTCTGAACCGAGTCATCGCTCTGAGTGTTGCAGGAGAGGTTTCTTTGACCAACGTGGTGTTCACTGAGGTGAGGGATCCTCCTCTTTTTACAGAATTTAGTTGTATTACTCAAGCACAGCACAGTTCTTAATTCGCCGGACTGAACTTGGGGCGTTGGCAGTGGGAGTTCCCCTACTTTACCTAGCAGCGAACATCTCCTTAAGTGAGACTGAGAAGAGATTATGAAAGGACATTTTAGGTACTAAAAAAAGCTACTCTCCTAATTTCTTCAAATTCCAGCATCGCTAGAAAACGTAAAACTGCGATCATACAAACCAGAAACCACTGAATTTTAAAGCAGGAATAAACACTACATACTAGCTAACAAGGCAAAGTTTGTACTGTAAAACCATTTTGTTGGCATTTTCCTCTTTAAAAACAAAACAGCAGTGGAATTTCCAAGAAATGAAAGCATTTTTACCTGTGGGCAGCATCGTTTCTAGGAGCAGTGACTCAGTCTGCGTCTGAGGAGATTGTTGTCGTGAGCTGTTATTTTGCCGTATGTTGCGCAGTCAACAAGGGTGGTACACGAGACTCCTGTCGTGAGTCATTAATCAAGCAATGCTTAATATAGTGTTATTATGGCAAAATACAGATTTAATTCGTTTTAAATGAAACCATTGTAATCCTGAAAGTATCCCTCCTTTTTTCAAAAAGTAACACATTTTTGTATCCTGATTACATAACGCCGTTACATGAATTCCATTACTCCCCAACCCTGATAACAACACATAAAACACATGTGTCCTCAAGTATGTGACTGTCACAGCAGTCTTGCAGTGTGACATGCGATACTCTTTAAAAAAGGATTATAAATTGATTTGTAATATGCAAGAGTACTCTAAGACTAGAACTGGAAGAGTACCGGTAATATATATATATATATATATATATATATATATAAACGTGTCACTGCAGGACAACTTGAAAGAGAGAAAGCAGTAGTTAATAAACAGCATGGGGGGCAAATGGCAAATGTTTGTGTTGTTCAACTCTTATAATCTTGCTCTTACAGAACACGGCTGGATCCTCCATCTTTCAGCGGGGCGGAAGTTTGATCAACTTGCAGGGTGGGACTATGACTTTTGATGAACAATCATCTGTGCAAAATGGAAGCTGTTCTTTGATGAGCACCAAATACAATCAATCATCTTTCAAAACAACGACTGGACTTTCATTGAGCAACCCAGTCCAAAATCCTGTGAGTAGCAGAAACTTTACAGGAAAACACAATAAAGTGAAAGCACTAAAAGAGAAATCAGTAAATAAAATTTGTCAATCCCCGAGGACAAACTTTTACATTGCAGTTTCATTATTTTTGATGGCTCTTTAAAAGTTAAAAATTCTGCCATGCCATAAGAATCTAGTCAATATAGGGTAATGCCTATTTTCTTGTTCTTCCTGCAGATCCTTCCTTATGTGGGTCCAATTTCTGGAGGACTGAGAGTTGGAATGGCCTTGTACTTGCAGGGAGTTGTTCCCACTAATGCTGACTGGTAAGGAATTGGTTTGTTGAACAATATGGACAAAAACAATCCAATGCTTTTTGGAATCAGTTGCTTTAACGCATCATCTTCAATGCAGGTTTGAAATAAATTTCAAGACCGGGTCATCTGAGACTGATGACATTGCTTTACACTTTCTGCCTCAAATGGGCTCAAATGTGATCATGAACAGCTTCAGGAATGGAGGATGGGAGTCTGAGGAAAGTCTCTCTGACAACCCCTTTATAAAGGGAGAAGCTTTTGAGACGATCATAGTCATCAAATCGGAGGGATATCAGGTATGTGCTTTGAAACACAAAAGTCACTGCGCACCCCTAAAAGAAATCTAGGAACTTGTCCACACTCAGGCTGTGTTGTTTTGGATCATCAGATATACGTGAATGGCAAGGAGCAGTACACATTCAAGCACCGTATCCCACTGGAAAAAGTGTCAACATTAAACATCAAAGGAGTTGTTGATGTGAAACTTCTTGGCTTCATACAAGTAACTTAAATTTCCTATAGCTGTGGAAATATTGAAGCTTTACTGAAACTTTGTCAGAATCCATTAAAAATTACGTTGAATGTAAAGAGCCTTCTAAAGACACACACTCTCTCTCCCTGTGTTACCTCATTAGAACTGGAGCACAACTTCATTCCCTACAGAAGTTACAACACAAATCATCAGTTTGGGCAGCTCACGTGGGAAACGTTCCACCGTACAGTCAGAGATCTTGCAGCCAGTCCAAAACCCTGTGAGTGACCGTTCCATTCCAGTGACTTCTGAACGCACAACAAAGTACAAATACTTAATGAAACAACAGTGCTTGAGAACTGTTTCAACCAAGAGCAACTGTCTCACCGTAGTTTCTGGATTTTGATGATCCTTTTTTTAAAAATGAAATTCTAAATGTCTCATTTCATTGAGGTAAAAAAAAAACCTGCCATAAGAATCTAGTCAATATAGGGTAATGCCTATTTTCTTGTTCTTACTGCAGATCCTTCCTTATGTGGGTCCAATTTCTGGAGGACTGAGAGTTGGAATGGCCTTGTACTTGCAGGGAGTTGTTCCCACTAATGCTGACTGGTAAGGAATTGGTTTGTTGGACAATATGGACAAAAACAATCCAATGCTTTTTGGAATCAGTTGCTTTAACGCATCATCTTCAATGCAGGTTTGAAATAAATTTCAAGACCGGGTCATCTGAGACTGATGACATTGCTTTACACTTCCTCCCCCGAATGGGCTCAAATGTGATCATGAACAGCTTCAGGAATGGAGGATGGGAGTCTGAGGAAAGTCTCTCTGACAACCCCTTTATAAAGGGAGAAGCTTTTGAGACGATCATAGTCATCAAATCCGAAGGATATCAGGTATGTGCTTTGAAACACAAAACTCACTGCGCACCCCTAAAAGAAATCTAGGAACTTGTCCACACTCAGGCTGTGTTGTTTTGGATCATCAGATATACGTGAATGGCAAGGAGCAGTACACATTCAAGCACCGTATCCCACTGGAAAAAGTGTCAACATTAAACATCAAAGGAGTTGTTGATGTGAAACTTCTTGGCTTCATACAAGTAACTTAAATTTCCTATAGCTGTGGAAATATTGAAGCTTTACTGAAACTTTGTCAGAATCCATTAAAAATTACGATGAATGTAAAGAGCCTTCTAAATACACACGCTCTCTCTCCCTGTGTTACCTCATTAGAACTGGAGCACAACTTCATTCCCTACAGAAGTTACAACACAAATCATCAGTTTGGGCAGCTCACGTGGGAACGTTCCACCGTACAGTCAGAGATCTTGCAGCCAGTCCAAAACCCTGTGAGTGACCGTTCCATTCCAGTGACTTCTGAACGCACAACAAAGTGCAAATACTTAATGAAACAACAGTGCTTGAGAACTGTTTCAACAAAGAGCAATTGTCTCACCGTAGTTTCGGGATTTTGATGATCCTTTTTTAAACAATGAAATTCTAAATGTTCCATTTCATTGAGTTCAAACCCCTGCCATAAGAATCTAGTCAATATAGGGTAATGCCTATTTTCTTGTTCTTACTGCAGATCCTTCCTTATGTGGGTCCAATTTCTGGAGGACTGAGAGTTGGAATGGCCTTGTACTTGCAGGGAGTTGTTCCCACTAATGCTGACTGGTAAGGAATTGGTTTGTTGGACAATATGGACAAAAACAATCCAATGCTTTTTGGAATCAGTTGCTTTAACGCATCATCTTCAATGCAGGTTTGTAATAAATTTCAAGACCGGGTCATCTGAGACTGATGACATTGCTTTACACTTCCTCCCCCGAATGGGCTCAAATGTGATCATGAACAGCTTCAGGAATGGAGGATGGGAGTCTGAGGAAAGTCTCTCTGACAACCCCTTTATAAAGGGAGAAGCTTTTGAGACGATCATAGTCATCAAATCGGAGGGATATCAGGTATGTGCTTTGAAACACAAAAGTCACTGCGCACCCCTAAAAGAAATCTAGGAACTTGTCCTTACTGAGGCTGTGTTGTTTTGGATCATCAGATATACGTGAATGGCAAGGAGCAGTACACATTCAAGCACCGTATCCCACTGGAAAAAGTGTCAACATTAAACATCAAAGGAGTTGTTGATGTGAAACTTCTTGGCTTCATACAAGTAACTTAAATTTCCTACAGCTGTGGAAATATTAAAACTTTACTGAAACTTTGTCAGAATCCATTAAAAATTACGTTGAATGTAAAGAGCCTTCTAAATACACACTCTCTCTCTCCCTGTGTTACCTCATTAGAACTGGAGCACAACTTCATTCCCTACAGAAGTTACAACACAAATCATCAGTTTGGGCAGCTCACGTGGGAAACGTTCCACCGTACAGTCAGAGATCTTGCAGCCAGTCCAAAACCCTGTGAGTGACCGTTCCATTCCAGTGACTTCTGAACGCACAACAAAGTGCAAATACTTAGTGAAACAACAGTGCTTGAGAACTGTTTCAACCAAGAGCAATTGTCTCACCGTAGTTTTGGGATTTTGATGATCGTTTTTAAACAATGAAATTCTAAATGTCTCATTTCATTGAGGAAAAAAAAACCCTGCCATAAGAATCTAGTTAATATAGAGTATTGCCTATTTTCTTGTTCTTACTGCAGATCCTTCCTTATGTGGGTCCAATTTCTGGAGGACTGAGAGTTGGAATGGCCTTGTACTTGCAGGGAGTTGTTCCCACTAATGCTGACTGGTAAGGAATTGGTTTGTTGAACAATATGGACAAAAACAAGTCAATACTTTTTGGAATCAGTTGCTTTAACGCATCATCTTCAATGCAGGTTTGTAATAAATTTCAAGACCGGGTCATCTGAGACTGATGACATTGCTTTACACTTCCTCCCTCAAATGGGCTCAAATGTGATCATGAACAGCTTCAGGAATGGAGGATGGGAGTCTGAGGAAAGTCTCTCTGACAACCCCTTTATAAAGGGAGAAGCTTTTGAGACGATCATAGTCATCAAATCCGAAGGATATCAGGTATGTGCTTTGAAACACAAAACTCACTGCGCACCCCTAAAAGAAATCTAGGAACTTGTCCACACTCAGGCTGTGTTGTTTTGGATCATCAGATATACGTGAATGGCAAGGAGCAGTACACATTCAAGCACCGTATCCCACTGGAAAAAGTGTCAACATTAAACATCAAAGGAGTTGTTGATGTGAAACTTCTTGGCTTCATACAAGTAACTTACATTTCCTACAGCTGTGGAAATATTAAAACTTTACTGAAACTTTGTCAGAATCCATTAACGTTGAATGTAAAGAGCCTTCCAAAGACACACACTCTCTCTCCCTGTGTTACCTCATTAGAACTGGAGCACAACTTCATTCCCTACAGAAGTTACAACACAAATCATCAGTTTGGGCAGCTCACGTGGGAAACGTTCCACCGTACAGTCAGAGATCTTGCAGCCAGTCCAAAACCCTGTGAGTGACCGTTCCATTCCAGTGACTTCTGAACGCACAACAAAGTGCAAATACTTAGTGAAACAACAGTGCTTGAGAACTGTTTCAACCAAGAGCAATTGTCTCACCGTAGTTTTGGGATTTTGATGATCGTTTTTAAACAATGAAATTCTAAATGTCTCATTTCATTGAGGTAAAAAAAACCCTGCCATAAGAATCTAGTCAATATAGGGTAATGCCTATTTTCTTGTTCTTACTGCAGATCCTTCCTTATGTGGGTCCAATTTCTGGAGGACTGAGAGTTGGAATGGCCTTGTACTTGCAGGGAGTTGTTCCCACTAATGCTGACTGGTAAGGAATTGGTTTGTTGAACAATATGGACAAAAACAATCCAATGCTTTTTGGAATCAGTTGCTTTAACGCATCATCTTCAATGCAGGTTTGTAATAAATTTCAAGACCGGGTCATCTGAGACTGATGACATTGCTTTACACTTCCTCCCTCAAATGGGCTCAAATGTGATCATGAACAGCTTCAGGAATGGAGGATGGGAGTCTGAGGAAAGTCTCTCTGACAACCCCTTTATAAAGGGAGAAGCTTTTGAGACGATCATAGTCATCAAATCCGAAGGATATCAGGTATGTGCTTTGAAACACAAAACTCACTGCGCACCCCTAAAAGAAATCTAGGAACTTGTCCACACTCAGGCTGTGTTGTTTTGGATCATCAGATATACGTGAATGGCAAGGAGCAGTACACATTCAAGCACCGTATCCCACTGGAAAAAGTGTCAACATTAAACATCAAAGGAGTTGTTGATGTGAAACTTCTTGGCTTCATACAAGTAACTTAAATTTCCTACAGCTGTGGAAATATTAAAACTTTACTGAAACTTTGTCAGAATCCATTAACGTTGAAGGTAAAGAGCCTTCTAAATACACACTCTCTCTCTCCCTGTGTTACCTCATTAGAACTGGAGCACAACTTCATTCCCTACAGAAGTTACAACACAAATCATCAGTTTGGGCAGCTCACGTGGGGAACGTTCCACCGTACAGTCAGAGATCTTGCAGCCAGTCCAAAACCCTGTGAGTGACCGTTCCATTCCAGTGACTTCTGAACGCACAACAAAGTGCAAATACTTAGTGAAACAACAGTGCTTGAGAACTGTTTCAACCAAGAGCAATTGTCTCACCGTAGTTTTGGGATTTTGATGATCGTTTTTAAACAATGAAATTCTAAATGTCTCATTTCATTGAGGTAAAAAAAACCCTGCCATAACAATCTAGTTAATATAGAGTATTGCCTATTTTCTTGTTCTTACTGCAGATCCTTCCTTATGTGGGTCCAATTTCTGGAGGACTGAGAGTTGGAATGGCCTTGTACTTGCAGGGAGTTGTTCCCACTAATGCTGACTGGTAAGGAATTGGTTTGTTGAACAATATGGACAAAAACAATCCAATGCTTTTTGGAATCAGTTGCTTTAACGCATCATCTTCAATGCAGGTTTGTAATAAATTTCAAGACCGGGTCATCTGAGACTGATGACATTGCTTTACACTTCCTCCCTCAAATGGGCTCAAATGTGATCATGAACAGCTTCAGGAATGGAGGATGGGAGTCTGAGGAAAGTCTCTCTGACAACCCCTTTATAAAGGGAGAAGCTTTTGAGACGATCATAGTCATCAAATCCGAAGGATATCAGGTATGTGCTTTGAAACACAAAACTCACTGCGCACCCCTAAAAGAAATCTAGGAACTTGTCCACACTCAGGCTGTGTTGTTTTGGATCATCAGATATACGTGAATGGCAAGGAGCAGTACACATTCAAGCACCGTATCCCACTGGAAAAAGTGTCAACATTAAACATCAAAGGAGTTGTTGATGTGAAACTTCTTGGCTTCATACAAGTAACTTAAATTTCCTACAGCTGTGGAAATATTAAAACTTTACTGAAACTTTGTCAGAATCCATTAACGTTGAAGGTAAAGAGCCTTCTAAATACACACTCTCTCTCTCCCTGTGTTACCTCATTAGAACTGGAGCACAACTTCATTCCCTACAGAAGTTACAACACAAATCATCAGTTTGGGCAGCTCACGTGGGGAACGTTCCACCGTACAGTCAGAGATCTTGCAGCCAGTCCAAAACCCTGTGAGTGACCGTTCCATTCCAGTGACTTCTGAACGCACAACAAAGTGCAAATACTTAATAAAACAACAGTGCTTGAGAACTGTTTCAACCAAGAGCAACTGTCTCACCGTAGTTTCTGGATTTTGATGATCCTTTTTTTAAAAATGAAATTCTAAATGTCTCATTTCATTGAGGTAAAAAAAACCCTGCCATAACAATCTAGTTAATATAGGGTAATGCCTATTTTCTTGTTCTTACTGCAGATCCTTCCTTATGTGGGTCCAATTTCTGGAGGACTGAGAGTTGGAATGGCCTTGTACTTGCAGGGAGTTGTTCCCACTAATGCTGACTGGTAAGGAATTGGTTTGTTGGACAATATGGACAAAAACAATCCAATGCTTTTTGGAATCAGTTGCTTTAACGCATCATCTTCAATGCAGGTTTGAAATAAATTTCAAGACCGGGTCATCTGAGACTGATGACATTGCTTTACACTTCCTCCCCCGAATGGGCTCAAATGTGATCATGAACAGCTTCAGGAATGGAGGATGGGAGTCTGAGGAAAGTCTCTCTGACAACCCCTTTATAAAGGGAGAAGCTTTTGAGACGATCATAGTCATCAAATCCGAAGGATATCAGGTATGTGCTTTGAAACACAAAACTCACTGCGCACCCCTAAAAGAAATCTAGGAACTTGTCCACACTCAGGCTGTGTTGTTTTGGATCATCAGATATACGTGAATGGCAAGGAGCAGTACACATTCAAGCACCGTATCCCACTGGAAAAAGTGTCAACATTAAACATCAAAGGAGTTGTTGATGTGAAACTTCTTGGCTTCATACAAGTAACGTACATTTCCTACAGCTGTGGAAATATTAAAACTTTACTGAAACTTTGTCAGAATCCATTAATGTTGAAGGTAAAGAGCCTTCTAAATACACACTCTCTCTCTCCCTGTGTTACCTCATTAGAACTGGAGCACAACTTCATTCCCTACAGAAGTTACAACACAAATCATCAGTTTGGGCAGCTCACGTGGGAAACGTTCCACCGTACAGTCAGAGATCTTGCAGCCAGTCCAAAACCCTGTGAGTGACCGTTCCATTCCAGTGACTTCTGAACGCACAACAAAGTGCAAATACTTAATGAAACAACAGTGCTTGAGAACTGTTTCAACAAAGAGCAATTGTCTCACCGTAGTTTCGGGATTTTGATGATCGTTTTTTAAACAATGAAATTCTAAATGTCTCATTTCATTGAGGTAAAAAAAACCCTGCCATAAGAATCTAGTCAATATAGGGTAATGCCTATTTTCTTGTTCTTACTGCAGATCCTTCCTTATGTGGGTCCAATTTCTGGAGGACTGAGAGTTGGAATGGCCTTGTACTTGCAGGGAGTTGTTCCCACTAATGCTGACTGGTAAGGAATTGGTTTGTTGAACAATATGGACAAAAACAATCCAATGCTTTTTGGAATCAGTTGCTTTAACGCATCATCTTCAATGCAGGTTTGTAATAAATTTCAAGACCGGGTCATCTGAGACTGATGACATTGCTTTACACTTCCTCCCTCAAATGGGCTCAAATGTGATCATGAACAGCTTCAGGAATGGAGGATGGGAGTCTGAGGAAAGTCTCTCTGACAACCCCTTTATAAAGGGAGAAGCTTTTGAGACGATCATAGTCATCAAATCCGAAGGATATCAGGTATGTGCTTTGAAACACAAAACTCACTGCGCACCCCTAAAAGAAATCTAGGAACTTGTCCACACTCAGGCTGTGTTGTTTTGGATCATCAGATATACGTGAATGGCAAGGAGCAGTACACATTCAAGCACCGTATCCCACTGGAAAAAGTGTCAACATTAAACATCAAAGGAGTTGTTGATGTGAAACTTCTTGGCTTCATACAAGTAACTTACATTTCCTACAGCTGTGGAAATATTAAAACTTTACTGAAACTTTGTCAGAATCCATTAATGTTGAATGTAAAGAGCCTTCCAAAGACACACACTCTCTCTCCCTGTGTTACCTCATTAGAACTGGAGCACAACTTCATTCACTACAGAAGTTACAACACAAATCATCAGTTTGGGCAGCTCTCGTGCGGAACGTTCCACCGTACAGTCAGAGATCTTGCAGCCAGTCCAAAACCCTGTGAGTGACCGTTCCATTCCAGTGACTTCTGAACGCACAACAAAGTGCAAATACTTAGTGAAACAACAGTGCTTGAGAACTGTTTCAACCAAGAGCAATTGTCTCACCGTAGTTTTGGGATTTTGATGATCGTTTTTAAACAATGAAATTCTAAATGTCTCATTTCATTGAGGTAAAAAAAAACCCTGCCATAAGAATCTAGTCAATATAGGGTAATGCCTATTTTCTTGTTCTTACTGCAGATCCTTCCTTATGTGGGTCCAATTTCTGGAGGACTGAGAGATGGAATGGCCTTGTACTTGCAGGGAGTTGTTCCCACTAATGCTGACTGGTAAGGAATTGGTTTGTTGAACAATATGGACAAAAACAATCCAATGCTTTTTGGAATCAGTTGCTTTAACGCATCATCTTCAATGCAGGTTTGTAATAAATTTCAAGACCGGGTCATCTGAGACTGATGACATTGCTTTACACTTCCTCCCTCAAATGGGCTCAAATGTGATCATGAACAGCTTCAGGAATGGAGGATGGGAGTCTGAGGAAAGTCTCTCTGACAACCCCTTTATAAAGGGAGAAGCTTTTGAGACGATCATAGTCATCAAATCCGAAGGATATCAGGTATGTGCTTTGAAACACAAAACTCACTGCGCACCCCTAAAAGAAATCTAGGAACTTGTCCACACTCAGGCTGTGTTGTTTTGGATCATCAGATATACGTGAATGGCAAGGAGCAGTACACATTCAAGCACCGTATCCCACTGGAAAAAGTGTCAACATTAAACATCAAAGGAGTTGTTGATGTGAAACTTCTTGGCTTCATACAAGTAACTTAAATTTCCTACAGCTGTGGAAATATTAAAACTTTACTGAAACTTTGTCAGAATCCATTATTGTTGAATGTAAAGAGCCTTCTAAATACACACTCTCTCTCTCCCTGTGTTACCTCATTAGAACTGGAGCACAACTTCATTCCCTACAGAAGTTACAACACAAATCATCAGTTTGGGCAGCTCACGTGGGAAACGTTCCACCGTACAGTCAGAGATCTTGCAGCCAGTCCAAAACCCTGTGAGTGACCGTTCCATTCCAGTGACTTCTGAACGCACAACAAAGTGCAAATACTTAATGAAACAACAGTGCTTGAGAACTGTTTCAACAAAGAGCAATTGTCTCACGGTAGTTTCGGGATTTTGATGATCCTTTTTTAAACAATGAAATTCTAAATGTCCCATTTCATTGAGTTCAAACCCCTGCCATAAGAATCTAGTCAATATAGGGTAATGCCTATTTTCTTGTTCTTACTGCAGATCCTTCCTTATGTGGGTCCAATTTCTGGAGGACTGAGAGATGGAATGGCCTTGTACTTGCAGGGAGTTGTTCCCACTAATGCTGACTGGTAAGGAATTGGTTTGTTGGACAATATGGACAAAAACAATCCAATGCTTTTTGGAATCAGTTGCTTTAACGCATCATCTTCAATGCAGGTTTGAAATAAATTTCAAGACCGGGTCATCTGAGACTGATGACATTGCTTTACACTTCCTCCCTCAAATGGGCTCAAATGTGATCATGAACAGCTTCAGGAATGGAGGATGGGAGTCTGAGGAAAGTCTCTCTGACAACCCCTTTATAAAGGGAGAAGCTTTTGAGACGATCATAGTCATCAAATCCGAAGGATATCAGGTATGTGCTTTGAAACACAAAACTCACTGCGCACCCCTAAAAGAAATCTAGGAACTTGTCCACACTCAGGCTGTGTTGTTTTGGATCATCAGATATACGTGAATGGCAAGGAGCAGTACACATTCAAGCACCGTATCCCACTGGAAAAAGTGTCAACATTAAACATCAAAGGAGTTGTTGATGTGAAACTTCTTGGCTTCATACAAGTAACTTAAATTTCCTATAGCTGTGGAAATATTGAAGCTTTACTGAAACTTTGTCAGAATCCATTAATGTTGAAGGTAAAGAGCCTTCTAAATACACACTCTCTCTCTCCCTGTGTTACCTCATTAGAACTGGAGCACAACTTCATTCCCTACAGAAGTTACAACACAAATCATCAGTTTGGGCAGCTCACGTGGGAAACGTTCCACCGTACAGTCAGAGATCTTGCAGCCAGTCCAAAACCCTGTGAGTGACCGTTCCATTCCAGTGACTTCTGAACGCACAACAAAGTGCAAATACTTAGTGAAACAACAGTGCTTGAGAACTGTTTCAACCAAGAGCAATTGTCTCACCGTAGTTTTGGGATTTTGATGATCGTTTTTAAACAATGAAATTCTAAATGTCTCATTTCATTGAGGTAAAAAAAAACCCTGCCATAAGAATCTAGTCAATATAGGGTAATGCCTATTTTCTTGTTCTTACTGCAGATCCTTCCTTATGTGGGTCCAATTTCTGGAGGACTGAGAGTTGGAATGGCCTTGTACTTGCAGGGAGTTGTTCCCACTAATGCTGACTGGTAAGGAATTGGTTTGTTGAACAATATGGACAAAAACAATCCAATGCTTTTTGGAATCAGTTGCTTTAACGCATCATCTTCAATGCAGGTTTGTAATAAATTTCAAGACCGGGTCATCTGAGACTGATGACATTGCTTTACACTTCCTCCCTCAAATGGGCTCAAATGTGATCATGAACAGCTTCAGGAATGGAGGATGGGAGTCTGAGGAAAGTCTCTCTGACAACCCCTTTATAAAGGGAGAAGCTTTTGAGACGATCATAGTCATCAAATCCGAAGGATATCAGGTATGTGCTTTGAAACACAAAACTCACTGCGCACCCCTAAAAGAAATCTAGGAACTTGTCCACACTCAGGCTGTGTTGTTTTGGATCATCAGATATACGTGAATGGCAAGGAGCAGTACACATTCAAGCACCGTATCCCACTGGAAAAAGTGTCAACATTAAACATCAAAGGAGTTGTTGATGTGAAACTTCTTGGCTTCATACAAGTAACTTAAATTTCCTACAGCTGTGGAAATATTAAAACTTTACTGAAACTTTGTCAGAATCCATTATTGTTGAATGTAAAGAGCCTTCTAAATACACACTCTCTCTCTCCCTGTGTTACCTCATTAGAACTGGAGCACAACTTCATTCCCTACAGAAGTTACAACACAAATCATCAGTTTGGGCAGCTCACGTGGGAAACGTTCCACCGTACAGTCAGAGATCTTGCAGCCAGTCCAAAACCCTGTGAGTGACCGTTCCATTCCAGTGACTTCTGAACGCACAACAAAGTGCAAATACTTAATGAAACAACAGTGCTTGAGAACTGTTTCAACCAAGAGCAATTGTCTCACCGTAGTTTCGGGATTTTGATGATCCTTTTTTAAACAATCAAATTCTAAATGTCCCATTTCATTGAGTTCAAAACCCTGCCATAAGAATCTAGTCAATATAGGGTAATGCCTATTTTCTTGTTCTTACTGCAGATCCTTCCTTATGTGGGTCCAATTTCTGGAGGACTGAGAGTTGGAATGGCCTTGTACTTGCAGGGAGTTGTTCCCACTAATGCTGACTGGTAAGGAATTGGTTTGTTGAACAATATGGACAAAAACAATTCAATGCTTTTTGGAATCAGTTGCTTTAACGCATCATCTTCAATGCAGGTTTGTAATAAATTTCAAGACCGGGTCATCTGAGACTGATGACATTGCTTTACACTTCCTCCCTCAAATGGGCTCAAATGTGATCATGAACAGCTTCAGGAATGGAGGATGGGAGTCTGAGGAAAGTCTCTCTGACAACCCCTTTATAAAGGGAGAAGCTTTTGAGACGATCATAGTCATCAAATCCGAAGGATATCAGGTATGTGCTTTGAAACACAAAACTCACTGCGCACCCCTAAAAGAAATCTAGGAACTTGTCCACACTCAGGCTGTGTTGTTTTGGATCATCAGATATACGTGAATGGCAAGGAGCAGTACACATTCAAGCACCGTATCCCACTGGAAAAAGTGTCAACATTAAACATCAAAGGAGTTGTTGATGTGAAACTTCTTGGCTTCATACAAGTAACTTAAATTTCCTACAGCTGTGGAAATATTAAAACTTTACTGAAACTTTGTCAGAATCCATTATTGTTGAATGTAAAGAGCCTTCTAAATACACACTCTCTCTCTCCCTGTGTTACCTCATTAGAACTGGAGCACAACTTCATTCCCTACAGAAGTTACAACACAAATCATCAGTTTGGGCAGCTCACGTGGGAAACGTTCCACCGTACAGTCAGAGATCTTGCAGCCAGTCCAAAACCCTGTGAGTGACCGTTCCATTCCAGTGACTTCTGAACGCACAACAAAGTGCAAATACTTAGTGAAACAACAGTGCTTGAGAACTGTTTCAACCAAGAGCAATTGTCTCACCGTAGTTTGGGATTTTGATGATCGTTTTTTAAACAATGAAATTCTAAATGTCTCATTTCATTGAGGTAAAAAAACCCTGCCATAACAATCTAGTTAATATAGAGTATTGCCTATTTTCTTGTTCTTACTGCAGATCCTTCCTTATGTGGGTCCAATTTCTGGAGGACTGAGAGTTGGAATGGCCTTGTACTTGCAGGGAGTTGTTCCCACTAATGCTGACTGGTAAGGAATTGGTTTGTTGGACAATATGGACAAAAACAATCCAATGCTTTTTGGAATCAGTTGCTTTAACGCATCATCTTCAATGCAGGTTTGTAATAAATTTCAAGACCGGGTCATCTGAGACTGATGACATTGCTTTACACTTCCTCCCTCAAATGGGCTCAAATGTGATCATGAACAGCTTCAGGAATGGAGGATGGGAGTCTGAGGAAAGTCTCTCTGACAACCCCTTTATAAAGGGAGAAGCTTTTGAGACGATCATAGTCATCAAATCCGAAGGATATCAGGTATGTGCTTTGAAACACAAAACTCACTGCGCACCCCTAAAAGAAATCTAGGAACTTGTCCACACTCAGGCTGTGTTGTTTTGGATCATCAGATATACGTGAATGGCAAGGAGCAGTACACATTCAAGCACCGTATCCCACTGGAAAAAGTGTCAACATTAAACATCAAAGGAGTTGTTGATGTGAAACTTCTTGGCTTCATACAAGTAACTTAAATTTCATATAGCTGTGGAAATATTGAAGCTTTACTGAAACTTTGTCAGAATCCATTAAGAATTACATTGAATGTAAAGAGCCTTCTAAATACACACTCTCTCTCTCCCTGTGTTACCTCATTAGAACTGGAGCACAACTTCATTCCCTACAGAAGTTACAACACAAATCATCAGTTTGGGCAGCTCACGTGGGAAACGTTCCACCGTACAGTCAGAGATCTTGCAGCCAGTCCAAAACCCTGTGAGTGACCGTTCCATTCCAGTGACTTCTGAACGCACAACAAAGTGCAAACACTTAATGAAACAACAGTGCTTGAGAACTGTTTCAACAAAGAGCAATTGTCTCACGGTAGTTTCGGGATTTTGATGATCCTTTTTTAAACAATGAAATTCTAAATGTCTCATTTCATTGAGTTCAAACCCCTGCCATAAGAATCTAGTCAATATAGGGTAATGCCTATTGTCTTGTTCTTACTGCAGGTCCTTCCTTATGTGGGTCCAATTTCTGGAGGACTGAGAGTTGGAATGGCCTTGTACTTGCAGGGAGTTGTACCTACTAATGCTGACCGGTAAGTAATTATTTTGGCCTTGGGTATACAACCAAATATAAAATGAATGCAACACTACAGTTCCGTCAGGGATAGACCACATCCTCAGATATGCACAGACTCAGGGATAGGTAATGGATCCACTTCACTGAGGAGTTTCCTCCAACCTTGATCAAACCAACCTGCCTGAAACTTTCCTGTAGTCCTGAAGATTGGGATGAGCTTGTACAGGTTTGTTTGTTTAGGGTTGGAGCAAAACTCTGCAGGAAAGTGGATCTCAAGGGCCAGAGAACGCCAGAAGTAGAAAGTTGAGTCCTTATCTGGATTTGGTTAATTTCACATTCCTCAACTTTCATGCAGGTTTAGAATTAATTTCAAAACTGGGCAATCTGACACTGATGACATTGCCTTCCACTTCAACCCTCGATTGGGCTCAGTTGTGGCCATGAACAGCTTCAGGAATGGAAAATGGGAAAGTGCGGAAAGTCTCTCTGACAACCCCTTTATAAAGGGAGAAGCTTTTGAGACGATCATTGTCATTAAATCCGAAGGATATCAGGTATGTGCTTTGAAACACAAAACTCACTGCGCACCCCTAAAAGAAATCTAGGAACTTGTCCACACTCAGGCTGTGTTGTTTTGGATCATCAGGTATACGTAAATGGCAAGGAGCAGTACACATTCAAGCACCGTATCCCACTGGAAAAAGTGTCAACATTACATATAAATGGAAATGTTGATGTGAAACTTCTTGGCTTCATACAAGTAACTTATATTTTCATCAGCTGATTCAATTTTGCAGAATGAATGATACTGTGTCGGAATCCAATGTGGAATGTAAAGAGCTTTCTAAATGCACTCTCTCTCTTTAGGACTGGAGTACATCCTCATTTGTTACTGAAGTTACAACAAAGGAAGTTACAACAAAAATCATCAGTTTGGGCAGTTCACGTTCCATTGCACAGTCAGAGATCTTGCAGCCAGTCCAAAACCCTGTGAGTGACCGTTCCATTCCAGTGACTTCTGAACGCACAACAAAGTGCAAACACTTAATGAAACAACAGTGCTTGAGAACTGTTTCAACAAAGAGCAATTGTCTCACGGTAGTTTCGGGATTTTGATGATCCTTTTTTAAACAATGAAATTCTAAATGTCTCATTTCATTGAGTTCAAACCCCTGCCATAAGAATCTAGTCAATATAGGGTAATGCCTATTTTCTTGTTCTTACTGCAGATCCTTCCTTATGTGGGTCCAATTTCAGGAGGACTGAGAGTTGGAATGGCCTTGTACGTGCAGGGAGTCGTTCCCACTAATGCTGACCGGTATGTGACAATTCCATGGGTATTGTATGCAACCACGCTTTAGATATGCCCTGAATAAGTGTTAGGTATCGTCAAGCACCACTAGATAAGATATGTATTGCAATAAGTAGACATAACACAATTTATGGCCATGCACCACTGTATTATAACAATATTGATACCTCGCCAAACATGCAAGAGAGGCCCAGCTCTGCTCTAAACATGAAATAATTTTCCATTTATTGTACTTACAATGTAGAATATTCACTGCAATCTCATAAGGTTGATGAGACGAATTATTATTTATATTCAGATCATTTAACATGTCTCAACTTCCATGCAGGTTTGCAATCAATTTCAAGACTGGGCCAACTGACAAGCATGACACCGCTTTCCATTTTAACCCCCGAATAAGCCATAAGGTGGCCATGAACAGCTCTACCAATGGAAAATGGGGAGCTGAGGAACGTGTCTCTGACAACCCCTTTAAAAAGGGAGAAGATTTTGAGATGTTCTTCATCATCAAATCAGAAGGATATCAGGTAATTGTTTTGTGATTCTCACAGCCCCCTTAAGGAAAGCCCCACATCTAGTTAATACATAATAATTATCATAAATCCATGCATTAACAAACAATTAACCCAGATTTTAAAGGCCGTTTTTGCAACTGCCAAATGATGATATGCCCATAAGAAGCAAAGCTAATATTCATTAAAATGCTACCTAAACCTTAAAGCCTGATTTTGATTTGTCAGGTACAAATAAAAGGCCAACAGCACAGCATGTTTAAGCACCGCATCCCTTTGGAAAAAGTTAATACAATCAACATTAAAGGGAATGTCTCCATCAGCCTCCTCGGTTTTGTCATGGTGAGTGATACCAGTCCGCTTGTTCATCATATACATACAATATACTGCAATAGAAAAGCTGGAATGCATAATTTGTCCTGTATTTAAATCAATACAAAGGGTGAAGATTATATAACCCTCCTTTGTTTTACAGGGTATGTGAACAGGAGCATTTCTGAGGCTGCATTTTCACAGAATAATTTTTAAATGTCCTCATCTTGATATTTACTCACCAAGACAATCATTGATTTCAATCTAATCCACTATGCCATAAATCATGGTTACTGCTTATCTTGCAATGAAAGGAAATAAATCAGATTTTCTTCAACCAAACTGCTCTAATGTTGCAAGTTTTGGGTCACAATACGAAACACATTTTAGAGCTCTGTCACCATATGGACATATTGACACATTTAATGCATTATATTCATTGTTGGGTTTTTCTTTGAATTTTAAGATAACTGAAGGCAATGCGAGTTGGTTTTTATGCAAATTCAATTACTTTTTTTTCACAAACCATCCAAAGAGTAAAGCTTGAGACACAATAAAACCAAAGCTTTTCAGTTCATTTTCTTCCTAACTTTCACACAGTGTCCAAAACAAATGAAAACTGAGGGTTTCATACATAGCCACAAGGTGGAACTGTTTCCACAGTCTTGCGGACAGTGAGCAGAGGTCGTACACCCTTGACATCAGTCGGCTTTTGTCTGAAAGCGTTAATGAACTGGGTACAATGTGTTATTATTACCCACTATAGCTATCATTACCAAAATACAAAGAAAGGATGATTCCTGATTCTCCTGGAAATATGTCACTACATCAGAGTATGAGTGTGAGCCAAGTAAATTAACTAAATTGTGTATTTTAAGATTAGTGTTGCTGACAGATGAGTCCACAAGGTATTTGGTCTGGTCCTTAAGTACAGTTGTTCTCTCTCTGGAGTAATAGTTATTGTAGAGTGATTTACAACGAACAGGTCCCTTTAAAAAAGTAAACTGTTTTTAAAATACTTATTTTATTTTATAATATTTTATCATTTTCACAAAGAAGTAAAAATAGAAGAAAAGAAGTAATGTTTTCAGACACTTACTTGCATGTTTTTGACAATTAAATGAAAATGTAATATAGTTTATATTAAAATGCAATTGCTGAACTTTAAGGGTCTTTTTAGGTACATATTTATATGTAAATTCAGATTGAAATAGGGTTAAAGTGTACTGTTAAATGTACTGACAAGCAAACTAAGATATACTTTAATGCAATTTCTATTGACACTTGTCTCATTTATTTGAATTGTATTTTGTTGCAATTTAGTTCAAGACTTGACTGTGATCCAGTAATACAAATAATTAACCATTTGCATAACTTAAACATAAATTTCTCAAATAATAAAAGCCAAGCTATATCACATAATATACTGTAAAAAATATTGTTGGTTTAACTTAAAAAAGTAAGTAACCTGGTTGCCTTAAAATTTTAAGTTCATTGAACTGGAAAAAGTGAGTTAATACAATGAAGGAGATTAATTTAACCACCAGAAACTCAAAATTATATGTTATATGAACTAAATAAATTATTTAAGTTGATTTGACAAAAAAAAAGGTTGTGATTACTACACTGTAAAAAAATATTGTTGGTTTACCTTAAAAAAGTAAGTATCCTGGGTTGCCTTAAAATTTTAAGTTGATTGAACTAGAAAAAGTGAGTTAATACAATGAAGTAGATTACTTTAACCATCAGAAACTCAAAATAATAAGTTATCTCAACTAAATAAATTATTATAAAGTTGATTTGACAAAAGAAAATATGTTGTGATAACAAATTTTTAACCTACCCATTATACCCTGGACATCAAGCTAAAATAATATTCGACGATCGCAGGGAATTATTCGATTATTGCTGGTAAAACGTGATCCCTCAAATTTGCTCCGACATTAAAAGTCTTCACTGTAGGCCTACTATACAGTACGTGTTGTAGCCATTCAAGAAAACACATTTAGTCTCATATGTTTAAATGATAAAATGTTATTTGTGATTTCCTCTATGTTGATTATATGAAAAGCGAACCGCATGAGTATATGATCATTAGATGCGCAACAGGCTACACTTCTAAGTGGAAAAGTATACAAACGGATAATTTCCCGGGAAAACCACTGTCAGGTCTAAATTAAACACTTATAAGTGTGTACTTTAAAGCCAGACAAAAGATTATTAAAACAAAGATATTTTAGGGTAAACTGTTTTTAAAAGTGTACTTCAGTGTGTTGTCCCGAAAGAGTGCTAAGATAGAAAGATAAGATGATATATGTCGATCCACGTTACCTCTCACGAGCATAACTCTGTTCTGTTGTGCTGTGGGTCTTTACTGAAACTATTATATCGTGTCGCACAGCTAGGAGAGTGGATCACTCGCAATCAGTCTCTTCAAGAAGAACGCGCTCTGCTGATAGCGGGACAGATGCGGATAGAGAAAGAGGAACACACTGGTGTTGCAGTACCGTAGCCGCGACTGTGGCATATCTGTGAGGATGATGGAACGAGTCTGCAGTAAATCCACACCGAGTGCAAGTCTCATCATAAATCTGATGTCTGCGCCCTCGGCGGCCTGAGACGCTGCAAACTGTTCACCTCATAAATTAGACTGGAGTTAAGTGGATCAATATCTGGCCTCCTGCGCGGAGACTGTACGGTGGCGTTCAGCGTCTGAGACACGGCACTGGCAAGAGTTTGATTTACAGAGACCCGTCAGAGAGAGAGACGAGACGAGAAACGCAACGGCTGCATCCGCAATCACATCCTTCTCCGCTATACTGCGGCGGAAAACAGTGTGTGACAAAAGAAGCATCATACGACGGACACTGTCCCATGAGGCCACGGGAGAGGATTGTGAACGACAGTGAAGCGACGCTGGGAGGTCACATGACAATGACATCATGAATGTCTGTCCAGATTACATAGGCGGTCGCAACCCTCTACAATACAACTAAATCACTCGCATATGCGACTAAGTCTTAACACTGGGCGACTACATAATGTCTATGATTAGCCATTAGCTAATAAATTCGTCACGGCCACCGGTGGCGCTAATAACAAGGGTTTCTGAATTCTTGACTATTTTACAGTCACACTAGGTAATGTTTGTAAATTAACATAGGTAACACTTTACAATAAGGATCCACTTGTTAATATTAGTTAGCATGAAGTATAACAGTTAAAAATGCAGGCTGATCTCATGAAGTAGCGTGTGTATGACACGCCAATTCGTATTTCCATTTTTGGCGTGCTATCAAGACGCATAATCACCTTTCAGCGCGTTTATGGACGCCGTTGACTTAACGTTATATAAATATATGACTTACCTCAACCCCGTCCCTAAACCTAACCGTCACTGGGGTTAATGGCATTTATGACTGGAGATTTGACTGCGTGTACGGACACACAGAATGGCGTAGACATATACGCATACACGCGGATACACGCGGATAGCTCAAAATGCATAGAGATAACACGCCACCTGACTCGAAAGTGGCGTATATGTTTACTCAAAAGTCATGATGTCATGTTGTAAAAATGCCTCCAAATCGTTTATTAAAGTTACAATATGTACTTTTATTCGCCGCTAGGGGTCGCTAACCTCTTGCAATAACAAAAGACGTGGGTTGATGACGCACTAGCGGGATTATGGAAGTTGTCGTCATGCGGATGGATCTAATGAGTGAATACACACGCTGATATTCATCTTCCTTTTCTTTCTCCTTTTGTCCCAAAGTCTGCAGGCCATGATCCATAATGTTAGAACGAAACATCAACAGCGTGAGCATTGTTGAGGATATTGTGAGTCCACAACTGCAGGAAATATATCACACTGTGCATTTTATACTGATTTATACTGTGATATTTTATTACAAAAACCGTACCTTTGATCTTAGTGTAAACTTCAAAAGTAATGGATTTAATGGATCTGAGTTAACACGAAATAATAAACAGTTGTAATTGTATTAACTAACCTTAACAAAGATTAATAAATGCTGTAATAATTGCATTGCTGATTGTTAATGTTAGTTACTGTATTAACTTTAAGTAATGGGACCTTATACTCTAACAGCGCAGTTCGCTGTTAGTTGATGAAACCTAATGCATAAACTAATGTTAATAAACTGAACCTTATGGTCAAGTATTGCCCTCCTTAAGGACAGAACTAAAGTAAAACACACTGTTATTGAGATCTCGTCTGCTTTTAAAGGTTTTAGCGTCACGCTCCCGTCCGCTCTCAGTCTGTGTCCGGATCCTCCAGTAAAGGCAAACACGGCTGGGCCAAAGGGCAGTGTGTACTATAAGAAGCCTTTATAGTCAGAGTTAACATGTGACTGATCTGCAGCTGTGTGTGTGTGTGTGTGTGTGTGTGTGTGTGCCCATGTTTGGGTCGTCCCTCCGCTGGTCAATTTCTGTGCTATTTCCTGTCCGCCTCTGACCCAGACACACACACACACACACATGCTTGTTCACACACGATATACGCAGCAGCTTAAAAATGTTCCCACAAGCAGACGTTCTCTTTCTGGAGATTTCACAAACACTATTGTAAAGATTAATGATTTGTAGATTCAGTCTAAAGTTAATACTTCATTATAGAATTTGTCATATCAAATATCTGTGTGTGTGTGTGTGTGTGTGTGTGTGAGTGAAACACTATCACACCTTATTTGGCCTGGAAAGTCAATGTCTCGCATAAAAACCGTCACCTTAGACTTCTGTCAGGACTTTATATTTTTATTACAGAAAGGTTTGATCTGAGTGAACAAGCAAATATTGATTTTGAACCAGTAGAGAGATGAAAAATGTCTGTCTAACTTCACAGACTAGTTGAATAATACAAAGGTATTTTACTTATTAATATTTTAATCATTGTTTTATTTGAATTGATTAAATCTGAAGAATATGTAAAAGTATTTGGGGCAAAATAAGGGACTTTTTAATATGATATTATTAACCATATAATACATTTTGTTACTGTGAAGAAGTCTGAGATTTCTCTCAAGCAAGTTTTCATGTGATTAATTATTTTTTAAAATAAGTTAATAGATTTTTTAATTTAATCAAATGTATTAATTTAATCTGTATTTTTAAAATGAGCCAATTTAAATGACATTTATGGACTACGAGTAAATTCAATTATTTTATTAAAATAAACAGAATGTGGTAAAGTCTTTGTTGAAGTGATTGCTTTTGAACAGGAATTAATAAAGGTGAAAAAAAAGAGAAAAAAAGGAATTAATAAAGGCGTTAAAAAAGCATTGAAATAAAGCATTGAAATAATCTCTCGAACGCTCTCGTTTCTCTCGGTGGACTGTGGATTCTTCATGGAAAAATAAAAAGATGGAGTAAAATATATTCATGGAGGTTGTGGTGGAGGGAATCAATCCTCTGGCTCCGGAGAGAAAGAGAGAT